CTAAAAACCAGCCTGGACGCAGAAAGGTCTCACTGGCCCCTCACCACCCCATCCCTCCGGCAGGCCTCACAGTTAACGGGCAGATCATTGGCGAGAAGGGAGGCAACTCTGACTCCAAGACCAGAAAGACTTACTTTGGCAAGCTGGGCATTGCCAATGCTCACATGGACTTCCAGATGGAGGTGACGCCGGAGAAGATCACCCTGTGGAATGGAGCTGCACAGAGCACCTTCAGCTGGCTGGACACGGTCACAATCACACAAGATGGGTATAGCCCCGCTCTTGGATCTCGGAGGTCTAAGGAGCTTCTGAGGGATTTGGACAAATCCCAGGACAGAAGACCCACAGAGGTTACAGGAGAGACTGGTGGCCTCAGAGTTCAGCCCTTGCCCAGGGAAGGGTGACCGCAATGGCCCCAGCCAGAAGTGGTAGCTGGACAGTTCACAGTACTGATCTTTTTAAAAAAAATGTTTATTTATCTTCAAAGAAAGAGGGAGAGGGGAATCCCAAGCCCAAGCCAGCTCCACACTGTCAGCATAAAGCCCGACTCAGAGCTCAGTCTCACGAACCGTGAGATCATGACCTAGGCCTAAACCAGAGTTAGACGCTTAACTGACTGAGCCAGTCAGGTGCCCCCACAGGACTGATCTTGAGGGAAGGGCTGTGTGGACATAAGCATTAGGGGACCTACCTACAATCTGATAACACACTAATCTTCATCTTCAACTTCTCTGGCTAAACTGCTCAGCCTCTCCTAGGTCTTCAAGTCACTGGGAGCCTAGTGGATAGGGCAGGGGCATTACTCCCAGTGAAGCTCAGAGAGGTGTGGAACCTACCCCAGGTCACACAGGAAGCCAGTGGCTGAGCTGAGGATTGATCCCATGCCTCCAGACTCCCAGGACAGCCCTGTCTTCTGCTTACGGAAGAACAAGGATCCACTCAGTAGAGGGCATAGTCAACACGCGTGAGGCATCTCTTCTCCAACACCTCTGAGATAATTTCCAGAGTGTGTGTGCTCAGGTGCCATGTAAGGAGAAGGCCCTATCGAGATGCCTTTGGTTCAGATACCCGGTATCATGGCTGCCACTGGGCCCCACTTGCTGACCTCCTTCTTCTTCTCTCCTAGGCTGTCTGTGACAATCAACAGGAAAAAGAATATGGTGATATCCTTTGGAGATGGGGTTACTTTTGTGGTTGTCCTGCACCAGGTGTGGAAGAAGCATCCTGTCCACCAAGACTTTCTGGGCTTCTATGTGGTGGACAGTCACCGGATGTCGGCACAAACACATGGGCTGCTGGGTATGGAATGTTCCAGCTTCAGATTGTTCAGGACACATGGTAGAGGGGAAAAGCCACATGAAAGATTATCCTAGTTGCCCTGGACTGAGCACGCAACACCCAGTCAGCCTCTGCATCAATCCCGGAAGGCTAGTGGCTGTCATACTTATGGTGATGGCAGAGGCTGACAGTGTGCAGGGGCTGACAGAGTGAATGTTTTTGTTCCCAGGACAATTCTTCCATCCCTTGGACTTTAAAGTGTCCAACATCCACGCAGGCTCTGACCCCACAAAGCCAGATGCCACAATGGTGGTGAAGAACCATCGGCTGACGGTCACCAGGTGACAGAACTCTGACATCCTCACCCTGCCCAGTAACAAGACAAGAGGAGAGAGCCCTCTCCACCCATACACATTGGCCTGGAAGTCTCTTGTCTCCTGTGGGGCATCTATTCTCATTTCCCTCTGGGGTCCTGACCTCCTCGCCCCCTCTAGGCTCCTCCTAATCAGGAAAAGGCCAAACTTGGCCCCCCAGAGGGAGTTAATCATTTGATCTCTTTCTTGACCAAAGAGTTTTGGACTCAGAACTCATGCCCTTTTCCAGCCTTAGGTCCTTGAGCATAGCAGCCATCTTGCCCACCCTGGATATATCACAGTGTCTCTTTCCTTTTTCCCAGGGGTTCCCAGAAAGACTACAGGAAGGATGTCAGCGTCGGCACCAAGGTCGCCTGCTGGTTTGTCCACAACAACGGGCAAGGGCTGATTGACGGTGTCCATAGTGACTACATTGTCCCCGACCTGTTCTGAGCAGACGTGCCAGCTCCTGCTGAGACAGCTGGCCCAGCTCACCTGGCCTCTGGAACAGGGACATGGACCAGGGTCTCAGGGAGGGTTGTGACAATAAAGCCCGAGGACACAGCCACCGGCCTCTGCATGCCTCTCTGAGCCCCGGCTCCAGGGATCAGGCAGTTGGGCCTCGAGGTAGCTCAAGTAAGGGGCTGGCTTCTAGAAAGGCAGTTCCCTGGGGCTCTCCATGGATGTGGGTGGAAGACGGGGTTGGTTGGCACTTTGGGGAGCCACAGGTATGATGGTTTGGGAAGTGAAAAAACAAAAATGGACTGGTGTGAAGGGGCTGAGAAGTGGAGAAGAGTTGAGTGCATTTCAGAGTCCAGGAGGGTAATAAGAAAAGTCAGAGGTCAGGCTTAGTAGCCCCCATCAGGACCCACAGGCCTGAAGATCCTTCTATGATGCAGAAGCAGGGAGTGCTCTGGGGCAGACATGGCCTGCAGCTCATGACAGGTGTCCTTCAGCCCTCTATCTTCCCGTTATCTAGCCATCCACCCCCACCCACCCACCAGTCCACTAGCCACCCAGCCATCTATCCATTCATCAGATAAACCCAACATTCTGGGCTAGAATCTGGGGCCACACAGCTTAGTGACCATTTCCTCTTTGCGTCGGCGCCCCAAGTTTGCGGCGGCTAGGCTGGAAATCCCTAAGATCCTCCAATCATGGTGACTGCCCACTCCACCCCAACGGTAAGTCCTGGGTGAGGTCGGAGGTCAGTTAGAGATTCCCAGAGTAGAGGCTCTCAGGGCCCTCAGCCTAGACAACCCTCTCTCACCTGGGCAACTGCAACAGCCCTTCTCTGGTCTCCCTGCTTCCACAGAAAGACTCTGTAGAGCAGAACTGATCATCACTCCCTGCCTAAAACCCTATCAATGACACCTCTCACCCACTGATCTCAGGAGAAAGGCCATTGTCCTACCTATGGCCTGTCCAGCCTTACCAACCCCACATACCAGGTGTCTCCCCTCACTTTCAGGGTTCCAGACACACAGACTGCTTCCAGTTCCACGAACCTAGCCCTTCATGTCCGAGATCCTTTGTCTCCACAGTTCTCACTGCCTGAGGGGCTATGGGTATGCCAGGCAGAGGGCACCCATTGCAAGAAGCAGTGGGCAGCTTTGCCTGATGGCAAAGCAGGGACCACAACCTCCTGGATGAGGTTTGAGTTAGACTGGGAATGGCCACAAATGCCAGTGCGGGTGTGGGGGCGGGGGGGGGGGGGGGGGGATCTGGCGATGGGTCACCAGGAAGTTCCCCTACCTCCCACTCCAGGGTCCCATCTGCCTGAGTCAGAACAGAGTTCCCCAGGGTCTGGGGGCCTGGCAGAGAGTACTGGGGAGGCCAGTCCAGGAAAAAATCTAAGTGGCCAGGCCCCACTCCCCACTGGGTCCTAGGTTGACTGAGGAACCATGTACTTTAAACCAGTCAGTTTTCACATCTGTAAAATGGAGAGAAAGATCCTGCCAGATGGCAGTGAACAAAACAGCAAAGGGTACGGAGCTCCATTCACCTGTTCACAGAGGATACCTGCCCTGCAAGTGGGGCCAGGCCAGAAAGTTGCCCATGACCCCTCCAGTGTTCACCAGTTCCACAGCCCAGCCCAGCTGCTGGGGTCTGGAGGGTGAGTTTGGGGTGGGTACTCATCTTGCAACCCAGTTTATCAGAGCCCTGGTCTGAGACCCTCTGAGTGACCTTCACAAGGCGACGCAGCCTTGACCCCAAACTGCCCCCCAGGCTCCGTGGAGATGCAGTGACTCAGTGGGAGTGTTCCTGTGTATTTGGCAAATCTGTAGCTGGAGACCCCTCCCACTGGGCTCTCCCCTGATCCTTCTAGAAACACCCACTCTGCACACATCCTATAAAGCTCTAGAGCTGAGAAAAGAATGCTCTCCTCACTGATCTAGTTTGTTTCCTCTCAGCAAGCAAGCGAGCTCATTTTCTCCTTTCTCCTGGCTGCCAGGAAGCTCAGCACAAAGCTTTGTGCTGCTGTAGCTTGCCTTACCCTGGTGCCTGTGATCTAGCTCTTCCCCTGCTTGGTTTTTTTTTTTATTTTTATTTTTTTTGTTCTCTTTCTCATGGTTTTGCATTTGTTCTCTTCATCCTTTTTATTTGTAAGCCAAAGACATGTGTCATTTTTAAAGAAGTAGGTGGAGGAACTGTAAATGTTTAGGTATGCTTTGCCTGTGCAGGAACGGGGTGAAATCTTTGGGGTGCCTACCCCTGGAGCATGGATGGGAGAGCAGACCCCCAGCAGCCCAGGGCTCTGGAGCACCCTCATGAGACTCGAGGCTCCTGAGGACAGATGCTTGCTTCCTCCCTGGGCCCAGGACCTCATCTCTGTCTCCCCCATCTACCAGTGCTAGCCTCTTGACCAGGCGGTGAGCAGACAGGCCTGATCCTGAGCACGGGTGTGAAGATCAAACTGTGTCATGCAAATCCCATCACCAAGGGGCCCAAGAGCTTGCTGAGAAGTTGGAGAGTTGGTCTGTAAAGAACTGCTACCCAGTTTGTGCCCACTCAAGGCCATTTGTGTTTCTAACAAGAACTTCTACCCACTTCACGCTTTTTCTTCTTCTTCTTTTTCTGTTTTTTCAGTCAAAACTGGTTTTCACGGACTCAGTGACCATCAAGCAGACTAAACCTCTGCTCTCAGAGAATGTTCTCCTGCCCCAGACTCCCAGCCGAGGGCTGCAGTAACATTTTAAATGGGTGGTTTAATCTCTTTAAATTTCAGTTTCTTTGCTTGTAAAATGAAGAGATTGGACTGAAAGTTCTTCATGGGCCTTACTGGCCACAGATCTTCGAGGGGCTCACAGTGGAAGATTCTAATGGGATTCTGAGGCCTGGGGATGTGGCCAGACGCAACCACAGATGTCCATTTCCTGGGCTCGCAGCACCTTTATTTGGAATGAGTAGGAATATCCCTCCCCATCACGGTCCAGGCCCCACACAGGCGGTCTTCTAGTCATAGGGTGGCAGCTCTCTGTGCCACCTGGGGGAGGGGCATAACCCCTCCCACATAACTACAGCTCCACGGACCAGCAGGAAATCTCTGTTCCTGGGGAGCCCTCTTGGTAATCCAGCTTGAGCACTCTGGGATGGATACATGGACAGACAGAAAGATAGGTGGTCACCAAATCTCAGGTGTGGTGGGAAGGGACGGAGGCGGCTGGGGTTAGGAACGTGGAGGGTAGAGAGTCTGGGGGGGCCTTAAAATTTCCTCCAGCACAGGGTGACAAGGCCCGGTCACCCAAGTGGACCCAGCTGTGTGCGGTCTTCAGGGCCCAGGGCTCTGAGAATTCGGGAGGAGTTCCCTACTGCCCCTGACTCACCTTAGTGATCTCTGGGCTGGGGTACTTTCAGTAAGTCTGAGCTGACTGTCCTCTGTGAGGTCACTGAGGGCCGGGTCAGAGATCTCTAAAGTATCAGCCTTTGCCCTCACTGTCTCTAGTTTCCAGGCAAGGACAGAGGAGTAGGACCGCCCGCCCAGCCCAGCTCCTGGCCTCCCAGCCCCCACACCCCACCAGGCTCAGCGGCCTGCCCGCGGAGTCACCTGGTAGCAGAGTAGTCACGGCCCTGAACGCTCAGTGTTCGCCTGCTGTCATCTGCCGCTTCTGGGGGCCCCCAGAGCACGTCCTGGTAGAACTGGCCTGAGACACAAAGGGTGGGTCAGCAAAGAACAAAGATGGAGGTTGGGAGACACACAGAGGTGAAGGGCGCAGGCAGAGGTGGCTTCTGAGGGTGCCCTGAGCCATGGGCAACATACCAAGGGTCCCACCAACGTGGCTAGAGAAGTGGTCGGTGTCCCGCAGAAGGAGCCGCAGTCCTGCCCCAGGGCCATCCCAGGGGAGCAGGCCGATGGTCACTTTGCCTGGGCTGCTGAGCAGCAGGAGTCCCGTCTTGTCCATGGTCATGTTGAGGCTGTGGGGACACCCGTGTCCTGAGCAACTGAGGTGGGAGTGGCTTTGGGTGGGAAGTCCCTTAAATGTTCTGGGCTTCACCTTCCTCACTGGTAAACTGGGACCATCTTGGCGTATTATTTATAAAATAAAACGGATTCCTTTCCCTCCCTGGTTTTCTTAGATTAGTTTCTTATAAATTAGTTTTATATGATTTAGGCAATTGTCTGATACATTCATTCTATCCCTTTCATTTTTATAGCTAGTGTCACTTCCTTCTGACGGTCAGTGTTACTTATGTCTAGAAGAGCAGGTCCCTTTTCATTCTATCCCGTCCTTTTTTACTTAAGACAATCTTTGAAATTCTTACCTTTTTTGTTTTCTTAGGAATGTTAGGCCCCTGTAAGCATGCTGAATAGGGCCCTGCTATTTAAAATAACCTCTGAGGTTATTTTAAATGGAACTGCCTTAAATTTACACTGTCCTTGATTCAATGTACAAGATGTGGTCTGTGTTCCCTGAGGTGTATCTTCTGTAGCTCATGAAAGTATTTGGACTTTCCCTCACTGCAGGTGATAGAAATTCTTTATTCTACCATCTAGTGTGCATGTCTAAGGCACACAAACTCTGTCATTGTTCGTGTATTTATCAGATAATAGGAAACTTTTAAGATCTTTCATGAAATTGGATGGTTTTTGGGCGAGCCCCTCAGGTTTCCTAGGCACCCACTCATTTGTCAAGTGGAAATCAGTCTCTACAGTGCGGCACAGTGAGAGGGCAGAGGGCAAGGCTCTCTGTACTCAGTACAGGCTGGGGGTCTGTGCACTGCTCAGAGAGGGCCAGGCTCCTCGGCCCTGCTCTCAGGCCCCTGGTGGCCTCCAGAGCTGGCAGGCTGCCTCTGGAAAGCTCTGTGGTGGGGCAGCCTCACCCAGAAGAGGTGGTCATCCACCTCCATTACCCACCAGCTGCCCAGTGTTTGATGCCAGATAGACTTGTCTTGTCACAGCTCCAGGAGTATGTTAAGGATGACATTCATAGCCTCACCCAGGGGACAGTACTCTCCAGCTTCTCGTTATTGTCATCACTGCCTCACCACACAGACAGTATGGCCCTCCACGGTACCCAGTGGACACCACACTGTCCAACGGGCACAGTACTCCTGGATCATATCGTCTCATTGGACCTTCTCCTCAGCCCTCTGGTTATGAGTGAGGAGACAGAGGAGCTAAGCAGCCTGCCCAGAGTCACACAGGACTGGCCATAGAGCCAGCTCCAAGCCACACTGGGCCCCACATCAGGTAGCGACCCCGTGTTAGGTGTGAGGGCAGCTGGGTCCCAGCACGACCCCTCTGTGCCCTCCAGAGCAGGAGGGTAAGGGCAGGGCTCTCCGCATCTCAGCCCCTCCTGCGGAGCCCAGTCCCACTGCAAGAGACTCACGTTCAGCCACCCCATCCCCAGGCCCATGGGCCCAGGTCACCCGTCAGCACTGTCACCAGCGAACTAATGTAGCCACAGAGGTACCCAGCCAGGGGCCTACCTGGGTATCACCGAGAACAGCGTCTCCTTCCACTTATAGGCAGAGTTTCTTCGGTTCCGAGTCACTACCACATGCTCAGGGGAGGCGCGGACCTGCAGCTGGGGGTTCTTCAGGGTCACCTCAATCCACGAGAACTGGGCCTTCTCCGTCTCATACTGGCCAGTCACCTCAACCCCTGAGAGGGCCAGGAGCAGAGAGGTCAAGGCCATGGCCCAAGTGGGGCATTGGCCTGGATGAGAGGTCCACCCAAACCCCTTCTCACCAGCTCACCTTCTTAGTCCCCTTTTCCCAACACTTCCTCCCACAAACTCTCCCTGACCCCCTGGTTTCATATGGCTTTGGAAGGCCCCCAAATCCTCAGTGATGGCCACCTCAAGACGAGCCCTTTGAGAAGGCAGAGCCTGTCTGAAATCAACAAATATTCATAAAGCCCCTGCAGTGTGGCTGGCCGCACGAGAGCGAGATGGAAAAGGAGTGATGCCCAGGCTGTGGGAGCAAACAGGCCACAGCCTGGTGAGATGAGTGGTAGACTGCGTGGTGCTGGGAGGAATGAGGAGCCGCGGGTGCTCCTTGGCTCTGGGTGGTTCTGCAGGCACATGCAGGCATCCCCACGTGCTGTGCAGGCAGAGTGTCCTCACATCTGACCTGATGCTCGGTTCAGCCAGTAAGATCCTTCCGGGGGTTGGGAATGCAGGCCTGGCTAGCACACCTACCTCCTCCTCCCATTCAGCTGCTCTACACCCTCCAGAGTCCTATCAGTACCTTCCTCTGCCCAGGGGGCCCCCACTTGTCTGCCAAGGCCCAGTCATTCCTGTATGACCCCGTGAAGCCCCCCGATCCTCAGACAGCTCTTGTCTCCTCCTCTGGGATCACCCACATCACTCTGGGCACTGACTATGGGCCTCTGAGCTTATGTATGCCCCCCACCCCTGAAGTATGGCAGTGCCGGGGACAAGTCCACATCTGGTCTCCCTGGAGTGCCCAGGTCACCCAGACCTGCGTATGTCATGCTCAGGGCAAAGTCTGTGGGGTGGACTTGTAAGTGCAAGTGTCTGTGCTCAGAGGCATGGCTACACTGTGGTCTGAGACAGGCCCGCACGGGGTAAGGTATGTCTCCATGGGCGGGTGTCTCATCATTGTCTCTGGGGTGGTGAGTGGTGGGGAGTGGTGTCTGGGTTTCTCTGGGTGGATGGTTGGATCTGCACCTCTCACCTTGGTCAGGGTCTGAGAGCAGGTTCATTGACCCCTGAGAGTGCTTGATGTCCACACAGAGGCGGTTCACACTCTGTCCGGGCAGTGTCAGGATGACAGAAGGTGCCTGGATGGGGGCTGGGACAGCAGGTGTCGTTCCTAGAGCAGGCAGAGCAGGCTGGGAGGTAAGGCAGGAAGGGGGCTGAGGGGGGCTGGCGACTTACCTGGGGGTGAGTCTGTCTTGGCTGACTCTGAAAGAAGAAAAAGGCTGGGTTTAGACAGCCCCTTCCTGGGCAGTGGCAGGGGAGGGACTGAGAAGTGGACGCCTGGGGCCAGGGCTCCCTCTCAACCGCAATGCTGGGAAACCCACGTGACAAGCCCGTAGAGCTCCCCGAGGGTTTCCTTTCCTGATGTCTCTGGGTCATAGTGTTAGAAGGTGTGTCAGGGGCTCTGGCCTTAGTTCTTAAATCCACATTACGAAACATTTCATCAGGAGTGGAGGGGGCTGATGGTGCCGAAGCGGGCATTAGTGCAGAGGCAGCCAGAAACAGAAAGGAAGAAGGCAGTCAGGATTGAGGGCAATCTTCACATCCTCCAGCCATCACTGCCACTCGCCACCCACCCAGCCCCACAACGCCTGCATACATACATCCAACTTAGAAGAGCCTTTGTAATGAGATTTTCAAACAGGAGAGCATGCTATTAGGGAAAATGTGAGGACATAGGGTCTAGCCTGGCTCTGTGCTGTTTCTGAGTCCAGATTTGGGATCAGAAATAGCTCAAGGGACTACTGTTGGCTTTGGAAACGGAGGAAGCCTTCCCTTTCTAGAAGGTTCCATCCTCAGCCAGCCTCCAGAGTGTCATGAATCTGATCCAGCGAAAATAAAGAACATGTTACTTTGGGGCACCTGGGTGGCTCAGTCGGTTAAGTGTCTGACTTTGGCTCAGGTCACTACCTCACAGTTAATGGGTTTGAGCCCCATGTCAGGCTCTGTGCTGGTGCTTTACCTCTCTAACTCTACAGGCAGATATAATGATCATTTGAAGGAAACTAGACTCTTAGAGGGTCAGAAAGTGGCTTACCTAACCACACTTCTGGCAGCAGCGATTCCCTAACCCCAAGGTAGGTTAGATGAGGAGGAAGAGGAGAATGAGGAGGTCCTTGGGGTCCGTGTCTCCCTGAGTTACTAGACACCTTCATGAGAGGTCCAGCTTTGGAAAAATGGACACATGGAGTCTTCTCTGAAGTAGTATTATGGGTCCTCCACAGCCTGGGCTCTGAGACCACCCCCTCCTGGGCGAGAGATGCAGAGAGGGCCGATGGCTCCCTTCCCTGCACTCCTCACTCTGGGAGCCTCTCCTCCCATGGCCAGAAGACATTCAAAGTGGGAACAAAGGGCCCTTCTTGAACTCCTTGGCCTCTGTCACCACTGAGCTCCCCCCCACCCCCCGCCCCGTCCCCGACTCAAATTACCTGGTCTTGGTCCTCTTAAGCCTCTTTCGGTAAGGAAGGGGTCTGGATAGCTGCTCCCTAATCAGACATAATTGGACTTGACTCCCAGCGCTGCCAGCCAGCCAGGTGTGCCAGGCAAGCCACTCCCCCAACAACCAGGGCAGAGCCCAGTCTGTGGCCAGGGCCACCGTTCTGTCACTCTCCCACCCCTCTCCCCTTTCCCCTCTCCTTTGCCACCTGTTATTCTGGACCTTGTGTCTCCCATGGTACGAAATCTGGAGAGAGGAAGACCTGGAAATCAGAGGGACCTGGGTTTGCTTGTTAGACATACCTTTCTGGGGCCTGCAGTTGAATGGGGATTGTATCTCTAGTGCCCAGGGCAGGACCCAAGTGGCAGCCAGTATCTGAATGAACGAGTGACTAAATGCACCCATTTGCTTAGGCAGATGTCGCCCCCTGCTGGCAGTGGGGTGGGGCTGGAGATGCCCGGGCCCGCAACCTCACGGGGCTGGTGCCTTAGGCTTTGTGTCAGTCAACCGTCCCCCAGGCCAGCCTTTGAGGCCCTTACCAAACTGGAACTGCTTGTGCTTGTTTTCTGGATAAAACAAAAAGAGAGAAAGAAAGACACTGTTAGAGTGATTTTGATAAATCTGACATGCTTGTACTTAACCTTGCTTTCCAACCCCAGCACTAAATAGGTGCAGTGAACCCTGGGGTCAGGAGACCTGGCCTCAGCTGCCATATCAATGAAATGGGAGGTGTCTCCTGGGGCTCCTGGGAGATTAGGGGTGGCAAGGTCGGGGTCTTGGTTGGGATACAGGGGAAGGCTGTGCTGCCAAGGAGGCTGGGGTTCTCCTCTCATACCCACCGGTTTCCAGGGGCTTCTCAGCAACTTCGGACTGTTCTTTGCCTTCTGGTTTGGTGACTACCATGGACGTGAGGGGTGTGACAAAACTGTACTGCAGTGACAAGTTCAGGGCTCGGGTCTCGAGGGCCTGCTTTTCAGCATCAGAGGCAGAAATCCTGCAGGTTGAGGACATTACAGGCTCAGCAGGCCCCTGGGTGCCTTGTCAGATTCCCCCCTCCCTTCCAGACCCTTCTGAGAGGGTTCCACTGGGAGAGTCTATAGCTCACACAGGGTGCCACAAACCCCTCCCTCTGTGCTTGGGAGATACCCTGTGCCCGCAGCTCCCACCCTCCCAGCGGGAAGCTTGGGAAGGTGCTCGGGCTATGTGTGGCTGTCCCGCTGGGCCCTCGAAGGTGTGGGCTACCCACATTTTCTCCAGCAGCTGCTGGATGGTCAGATATGCCCAGAGTCTCTCCATGAAGCTGTGGAAGATGTACTTGGGGCTCTGAAACTCTCCTTCCTTCTCCGCTATGCTGGACTCCATTTGGAAGGTGATGTTCTGCATGTGCTGGAAAAAGGGGCCCGGCCGGGGCAGGGGCTGTGAGGGCCTGGGGCTTCCAAGCGCTCCCACGTGAAACCTGCTTGGAGCTGGGGCAGTCCATGCAAGGACTGAACTACCTTTGAGTAGAGTGGGGTGTGGGGAGGGAGTTTGGGGTCCAAGAGCCTCGGTCACAGAGCCTCCCAACATGAGAGGGAGGTAGAGATAAAAGGTAGCAAACTATCCAAGTGCCACATGGCAGACACAGAGCTGGGAGCTCAGGTCAGCCCGACCCTTCCAGAGAAAGGGAAATGAGAATGCGATGTGAACCCCAGGCCAGTGTAGAATCAGCAGCAGGATGGAAGTGAAGTGTGGTATGCAGACAGAAAGGGTCCCCAGACGCATTCCATGCTCCCCCCAAAGATGGAGACTCGAGGAGACCAAGAGGGAAGAGCCTTCCCCAGCGGTCAGTGGCAGAGTTGAGAAGAGGACTCAGGTGTCATGGCCCTGATAGGGTTTGGGGCCCCATCCACCCCAACCAGCTGTCCCCGCCCAAGCTGGTGCCCTCTGCTGGGGCTGGGCACTGCAGGATGGTGACAGTAGGGCGTGTGCCGAGCTCTGGGTGACTGCTGCGTCCTTCCCAAGGGAAGGGCCTTCCGGTCTGGCTGGCTTGCCCGCAGCCTGCAGAGTAGGAGGGCGGGGAACAGAGAAAAACCCCACCCCTCTCCCCATTGCTCCCCACAGCAGCCAAAGGCCTTCACAGTGTGGATCAGATCCCCCCTACCCATGCTAGAACTACCTCCTCAGTCTCTCACCCAGAGCTGGCTCGCCCCCAGCCCCACTGTCACATGCAGGTCACCAGCATGAATTTTGCCCTATCCACACATAGAGCTACTTGTTTGATGATTTTCCTTAAATGAACTTTAAATAGACTAATACTATTTATTTGGCCCTGTCTCAAGCAATAATACCTGTGAAATCTTAGGTCTGAGGTTCAAGTTCTAGTTTTCAGGAAACACATTCAAATAAATACACAACTACTAAAACAAACATGTTTGTGAACGACCCTGAGTCACCGTGGTCCTACACTTTGGGAATGCCTGGCCTTTAGGTTAGTATTAGCAGCTAACATGAATGAAGTGTTTACAGTGGGGCCAGACTGTAACCCTCACAACAGCCTGACAAGGTGGGTGCGGTGACCTGTACTGATTTTCACACAGGAGGAAACTGAGGCACAGCGAGGTTAAGTGATTTGCCCAGGACTCACCTCTGGGAGGTGGCAGAGCTGGGTTTGAACCCAGGCAGGCTGGCCACAGGTCAGGCACTGTCCATTCCAATACTTGGCTACTTCCTCTGAGGCGAGGCCTGGGGCCCCCCGTTCCCCTCTGACTCACGCACCTGCTGTTCTTCCCACACATGTTGCCTGTTTGCCATGCAAGCCTAGAATGTTCCTCCATCATTCCACCATCTGGCCTCTACCACTTTCTATTCGTCCTTCAGTCTCAGCTGGGCAGGCAGCCCTCCATGATTCCCAGACCAGGTTTGGGATCCCAGGGCTGCTTCCCTCAGTTCCCAAGTCTGCTGTGGCAGGGACATCCCACCCCGCAATTCCTTGTTTGTGTGACGATTTACATGCACTGTCACTGTCACTGTCGTGAGGATAGTATCCCCAGGGCCTAGAGAAGGACCTGGCACAGAGCAGGTGCTGTTTCTCTCTGTAGATGACAGGGCCTCCTGTGTGACAGAAGCAGGGAAGGCTGGGCAGAGACAGCATCATGCGAGGCGCCAGGCTCTTGACCTGGCTGCAGAGGGGCCCAAGGCAAGTCGTCTGCCTTGCTGGATCTCAGTCTGCTCATCTGTGAATTGGGAGCAGCCCTCTCTGCCCCACTGCAACCTCAGAGGGTGGTGTGAGGACAGGATGGAATGCCAGGCACCTGGCTCTCTCAGGAACAGCAGCAGCACAGACTGACTACTGAGTGTCATCTCTAAGTGGGAGAGGGCACTTTGTGACTTGTCAAGGTCAACTGCTGGAGCCTGTGGGGCTGGGATTTGAGCGCAGCCCTTCTGACTCCCTGCTCCAGTGGACTTTTCCCTGCAGAATGGCTGGGCACACTCACCAGATGGCCTCTGACTTTGGCTGAGAGCACATCAGGGCTCTGGTCCTGGAGCTTCCCAGCCACCACGATCTCAGAGCCTTTGAAGAGCAGCCGGAAGTTGTCCTGTGAAACCTCCTCCACAGCGTTGCTTGGGTACTCAAAGGTCACTGCTGTCAGCAGTGGGTTGGCCACTTCCTGGTAGAAGTCCTGCAAGGTGGGGGGTGTCACGAGTACAGGGCTGGAGTCCGCCTGTCTCTCTCGGCCATCCCTCACTCAGGGGCTCAGCGGGGACAGTCGGGCACCTGGAGTTGCAGGGAGGAGTCCGAGTCCTCATAGATGCGCCGAGCCAGGCCACCGTTGTCCAGTGCCAGCTTCTCCAGGAAAGCATAGCTGACATCGAAGCCGAAGCCCAGGCAGAAGAGGCTGTACTGGCCAGCTATGGCCTCCTTCACGTTCTTCTGGATCTTCGCAGGGTTGGTCTCTCCTGGGCCCAGTAGTGTGGGAAGGGGGTGGGGCGTGAGAAAACAGTGCTTTGTTCAGTGGGGATTTCAGGATTCTAAACGCTGCCTCCGGCACCCCCCACCCCCACCCCGCCTCGGGCTCCAGAGCGAGCCAGGGGAAAGCCTCAGCTGCCTCCTCTGGGCAGTGTGCCCCAGAGCTGCCGGTGGTGCCCTCACCCGCAGTGGGGTCGCCGTCAGTGAGCAGGATGATGAGGGAGACGCTCCCCGCGGGCAGCAGCTCCTGCCGGTTGGCGTTAGTCAGCAGCTGCACGGCCATCATCATGGCCTCATTGATGTCGGTCCCTGGGGGGCACATACTCAGCGTGGCTTCCAGCCCAGGGCCTCAGGCTGGGCTTGGTGCCCCGGAAGCCCCCACACTGCAGCAGGGCTGCAGAGGCACTCACCGCCTTGGGCCTGGATGCCGGCCACATAGCTCCTGGCCTGGTTCACGTTCTCAGCTGAGGCTGCCACCAGTGATGGCTTCCACTGGGTTGCTTCCCCGCTGAAGCTGATAAGGTTGAACTGGTCTCTGGGGTTGAGGTCATCCAGGATCTTGATTAAGGCTTCCCGGGTCTGAGCAGGAGGATGGGAGACAAGGTGGGTGTCTCAGTGGAACCCCCCTGGGGCTGACCTCCTGTGTACTAGGGCTGGCATTCCCGGACTTGCGCGGTAGATGCTCTAGAGGCAGGACCTGTCCATACTCTGACCAATCTCAACCCCCAGGTTCCCCATACCCAGGAAGATGGGGGAGGGAGTATCTGCCTACTAGGCCAGAGGTGATGGCGTGAGGCATGTGTGGGCTTCCAGAGTTGTGGCCTTAACCTGCGGGACCCACCTGTTGGATTTTCCTGCCGAACATGGAGCCGCTCTTGTCAATGACAAAGATCACATTCTTGGGTATTGTGGGTAGGCCCTCAGGGGCAAAGTAGTGCACAAAGTAGCCATTCTCAATCTGTGATCAGAGTGAAACAAACCCAGGTAATAAGAGCTGGAGCCCTGACCTGCCCCCAACCAGCCTTCTCACCTTAATCCTTGGGTTCCTGTCTTCATGCAGCCCCATCCATTTCTGTCCCACTGCTAACTTCCTCAAATCTTCACCATCCTCTTGGGCTCAGTCCAGGCCTCTCTCTCTGCCCCTCCCCCGCACTCACTGTGTCTGTCTCTCTCTCAAAAAAAAAATGTAAAAAAATATAAAAAAAAAAAAGGCCCATCAAAAGAGTAAAGGGACAGCACAAAGAAACTTATATGAAAGAAACTACTGCCATTGAACATCAAACTGAACTGTGAGCCTCCTGGCAGCCAAGGCAACAAGTGAAATCTTGCAAGTCCTCTCTTTAGCAGAGATGAAACTTTAGCACCTCCAAAAGAAAATTGTTTTAGGGACAACATAATAAAATTGCTTGTTTTTGGTCTGTGCTGCCACTGGTTCACACTGAAGAGTAGAGGTAGTTATTCTGCCTTTCCTTCTAGAACATGAAAGCTCAAGCTCTTGAGCGTGGATGGATTTTCTGGTTACCCCCATTCTCGCCTGGAGCCCACACACCTGAATGGAGCCCCCGGAGAGGGTCCGGTTCACATCGTAGCGGATGATGAAGTTGCCATTCACGACTGTGTCCTCCTGCCCTGGGGACTTTTGCTGGGAGAGTGTGGGCTTGAATCGGATGTGAGCCTGGGGAAGGAAAGGCTGGGGTTGAGAGGAGCCCCATGGCCACACCCACCCCATCTGAAGCAAGAATTCCAGGATATGGCCTTGGGCCACAGTCCAGGGAATGTTCCCTGAGACTGAGCTGTTGGAGAGAATGACTCTCCATAGGAGAGTGGGGGAGTGAACCTCTGCTCTTAGAGCTGCACCAGCAGGGGCCAGGCTCAGGATGTGCGTGATCCAGCTGGCTGCCCCTTTCCACCCATGGGGCCCTTCCTCAGGCTCCTCCCCATCTCGGGCTTCACACCAGCACCTACCACCCCTCTCTGGGCCTCGTCCTCCACCTCTGCCGAGCGGCAGCATGGACAAAGACCAGACCTCGTGAGTCCCTCCAGCGTAGAGGTTCTGCCCATGGTCCCTCTCTCTGGACAGACTTATAAGGCTGGTGGGACAATAGTCCCCTTGGTACCTCTGCCTGCTGAAAATGGCATGCCCACCTTGGTCTTGTTCTGTGAGATGGTGAGGGCATCTGCCAGTTCGTTGGTCATGAAGGTGCTCTCTGTCTCCAGAAGGCTGATGCCCTGAGGCTCGAAGATGTGAATGTCCATCTGGAGGCAGGAAGTAGGTCACTGGGTTGGCAGGGAGCTGGGGCTGGTCCCCCAGGGAGGCAGAGGGGGAAGGAGGCGCTGCCCTCAGCACAGCAGGTGTGTTCCCGGAGACCTCTCCGGAAAAGGCAGTGCCAGTACCTGCAGGTGCCTGACCAGCTGCTGGGGCTGGACCTTCAGCAGCAGCTCATAGACTCCTAGATGCCGTTTGAGCAGCTCCTCATACACCAGCTCGAAGGTGACCTTGGCAGAGGGGGCCACATTGACTGACACCTGGAACTGCTCCATCTTTCTTCCGGTGGCCCTGGGAGAGAAGGATGTCACGTCTGTCCCTCCAGGCCAGGCAGGTATGGCCACTGGAGGCTGAAGGGCTGAAGGCCAGGCAGCCTCTGCCCTACCGCCCTGGGGGTCCTCCCTCCCCCATCTTCGGCTCACTTGATGAGGCCGGCACTCTCTCCCCTGGCCACGGCCGCGCTGTACTGCTCCTGGGCTGCAGCCTTCTCCTTAATGTTCCCTGGGTAGGTCACACCTTCGATGATCCTGCATCAGGAAGGGAGGATTTGGGGAAGGCCTGATAGGGGCAGCCCACTCCAATCCCACCTCCTCCAGGGAGCCTCCCTCGACTTGGTGTGCCTCTTAACAAAGTGACTCCTGTCTTTGCCTGAGTCCACCCCTGTTTATTATGTACTTACTATATACAACTCTGTGCAGGACCCCAGATGGGGAAGGGGAGCTCTGCATACTATGTCATGCCTCTATCTTCCCTGAGGTGTGCAGTGTTGGTAAATACGCATTTACTGAACAGACAGAGGAGGGAGGCTGCAGAGGGGGCAGGCCTGAGCTAAGTCCCCGCCTCTCTTCACCCTTGCAGTCTGGCCCCACATCCCAGCTTTCCTTCCCACCTCACAGCCTGCTCCCAGAACTGATCAGTCACCAGTGAGTGCTTTCTGGGGTGCGCCTGTGTGCAGCTGTGTGGGGTAGACGGAGGAGGAGGGAGATGCTGGGCTCCCAGGGCAGTGGGAAATGCAGTGCCGGAAGCTTCTGACCCCTCCCACTACCAGGACAGCAGAGGGGGCTCTATAGAGAGGTTGGCCTCTGGGGAAGTAGGTTTTGGACAACTAGTGGAAAGGACTCCCAGGGGTGTGGGTCCCACAGTCCGGCTATTCTTTGGGACTAGAAAGAACTACCAGGGCTTTTCCTCTGGAATGGAAATGACTACTCCAGATCCTCCTTGGGAGGTGAGCAGGGATGTGTCAGGCAAACACAGCCCTGCTCCACCTGGGGGTGGCTTGAAAGGGTGTGCAGGGGAGAGGGGGAGGGGATAGCCAGAGCATTAGGACCCAGTGTCCCTCCTCCTTACCTTCCTGACCTTCCTGGTCATAATTTAACCCTGGGCTAGGGATGGGGCCGCTGAGTGGGCCACAGGGCTCCTCCTCCCAGACGCCCAGCTGGGGCTCCCAGACAGGTCAAGGAGCAGGGCACCCTGCCCCCTGCTTCCCTATATCCTGCAGCAACACGATCTGGGCCCAGAGAGCAGTGCCAGCCAAGGGCTCTCAGTGAATGTGATGCGCCCAGAAGCCGGCAGCCTGTTGGCTTTGGCGCCCACGTGGGAGGCTGGGTGCTGCCTGCAGTGCTCACACAGCACGCAGTGCTCACACGGCACAGGTGCTCACATAGTACAGGCCCCAGGGTTAGGAGAAGCAGGAGCTGCTGATGACAGTGGCAGAGAGAGAGGAAGGAGCCGAGCACAGGGACTCAGGTTGCACTGTAGTTTGTCAGAGGTCTCAGGATAGTTTGGGGACCCCGGCTGAGCCCACTCTCTGCCCCATGCAGCTCCCCCCGAGTTGCTGGGATCAGCCTCTTTCTGGCCTGCCCTCAATCACTGCCTCTCTGGTGGAGACAGGGACAGACGGAGAGGGTTCTCATGTATTGAACAAACATTGCAAAATATTCGGGAAGGGTGGAGGAGGACAAGGTGAGGATCGGCACTGAGCCACAGAGTCCACAGGAATCCCAGGGGCCTCCCAATTCTCGGCCGCTGGCCCAGAGCAGAAATGCCTTCTGCAGTATCCCTGGTGGGAGGGAGGGAACTAGCCTGGCTTGGAACTTCCTGTGACCAAGAGATCCCCTTCCTCAAGGCATTGCTCCATTGCGGGGCAGTCCTGGAGTTAGGAAGTCTTCTGTATTCTGAGCTGGACGCTGCCTTTTGGGGACTCCCTCTGGCTGGGCCTGGGCCTCAGGATGCCCCAACTCTGTACTCCTCAGAGGCAAAGAAACCAAGACGCTGTGGTTTTCCACCTGTCAATTGGGAAGCATTTGGGGATCGTACATAGAGAGATGGATGGTGGGATAGACAGAGGGAGGGAGGGGTGGAGGGTGGAGGTATGGAATATTTCTGAGAACACACTGAAGTTTGTGGCTGAAGCCCCCGGGTCTTTGTGCTGCCTACACACACACACATCCCTAAGGCATCCACAGCACACCTCACATCAGGAAGAGGGTCGCTCTTCTTGATCGGCCGTCATGAGGGAAGCTCGTGTCATGACGTTGGGCTGGAGAGGGGGACGAGGAGGAGGGCAGGAAGGTACCTACATGGAGAAGTTGGTGATGAAGGCTCTCTTGGGCAGCTCCACCTGGAAGGTGGCCTCCTGTGTAACATCGGCCCTGTTGACCACCCTGCTGGTAACGACCGTGTGGGCAAATCTGGATGAGACCTTGGAGTCCACAGTTAGGCTGTAGATGTCAATGTCATTCTGGACCAATGAAGGAGGAGGGATGGGATTGGCTCAGTGCCAGCCCAGCTCAAGGCAGCACTCTGAGTCCCAGACCAAGCCCTGGCCCCCATCCCCGACTGACCCACTGACCAGGCCTCCAGCCAAACCCGAGGCACTTCGCATGAGAGCACCAGCCTCATGTAAGAGACAGCAGTGTATTTTGCTCCCCGCCCTCCAGGGCCACGATGGTGGAGCCTGCGCCCCAGTGTGTCTGGGAAGCAACTCTCAATTACTCCTCGGTCAGAGAGCCCTGGAAAGGTCAGGAAGCTTCATATTTGATCTTAGCTCTGTCCACCGAAAAGGTAGTGAATAAGTCCTGTGATTTCTGGTGACCGTGGCCTCATGGAAACTGGGAAAAGCAGCCTCTTGCCTGTCTCCCACCAGGTGTTCACAGGAGCTAGGAGAACTTGGAGGTGACGAGGACCCAGTCTCTAATTGCTGGGAGCCTTCCTCTTTGCCCCCTTGACAGTCCACAGCCATGGACTGTCCCCAGGCATATGCTCTCTTCCAGATCTGTGTGCATGTGAGCTGCCTGCACATGGCATGTTCAGGTGCACATGCAGATTAGCACAGAGACAAGTGAGTGGCTGGGTGGCTTATGTACACACGGGAGTGTCTGCTGGGTGGCAGGCACTGTACTAAGTTCTTTATAAATGTTACAGGTTTGAATAGCTTTTCTTTTTAGTATTTTATAGATGAGGAAACAGACACAGAGTACATAAATAACTCCTGGGGCGCCTGGGAGGCTCAGTCGGCTAAGTCTCTGACTCTTGATTTTGGCTCAGGTCATGATGTTGCGATTTGTGAGTTTGAGCCCCGCATCGGGCTCTCTGCTGTTGGCATAGAGCCTGCTTCAGATCCTCTGTCCCTCTCTCTCTCTGCCTCTACCCCACTTGCACTCTCTTTCTCTCTTTCAAAATAAATAAACTTTAAATAAATAACTCCTTCATGGCCACTCAGCCAGGGAGAGGTAGACCTGAGCTCATGAAGCCCATTTTTTGTTGTTGCTGTTTATTTATTTATTTTGAGGGGGAGGAAAAGTGCAAGTGGGGGAGAGTCAGAGAGAGAGGAGAGAGCAGGAATTGCAAGTAGGCTCCACACCAAAAGTGCAGAGCCCAACGCAAAGCTCAAACCCATGAACTGAGATCATGACCTAAGCCGGAGCTGGACGCCAAACAGCCCAACCCCCTGAGTCTCCAGGGTGCCCCTTGTGAAGCCCATTCTCATCCCGCCCCGCCTCCCCCACCCCACTGCCAGCCTCTAACAGCAACTCAAGTCTAGCAGCTGCATTTCCACCCTGTAAAATGGGACTAGATTTAGATCTCTCTACTGTTAAGAGAGGAACCATACAGGCTGGGCTAGTGCCCGGTGGATGGTCACCACCAATTCTTTGCACACACACTGATCCACGCTCACTTGTGCGCATATGCTTGCACACGCAGAGGCTCTCCTTGCTAATCAGCTCACAACACTCACACTCAGGAACCCACAGACACCCGCTACCTTTTGGGCGGTGGTGGTGTGAAGGACAGCCAGCAGCGAGAGCAGGACCAGAGCGATACCACAGGTGCAGCCAGGCGCTGAAGTCTTCATTTTGGCTCCAATGCCTGGCAGGTTGCTTCTGAACTTGAGAGGAAGTGGGGAATGAATTAATAACATGCTTGCTGTCCCGCCCCTGTGGGGGCAGGTTCTGGGAAATTGGGATCTACAAGCCAAAAACTGCAATTGCCTCAGATAAGTAAACTGTGAGTGTCCTGTGGACCTTGGTTGGGGCAGGAACATGTACTACGGAAAAGCAAGCTCAGGTGGGAGTTGGGGAGTTGGGTATGGCACCCCTTCTGAAAGGTCTAGAACCACCCCAGGCCACTACCACCCCTCACAGCAGCCACTGCACCAGTCAGTTCCTTAGGTCTGGGAGATATGCTCCAGAAGCCCAGCCTGGGGGAAACAGGGATGGCCCAGGACAGGAGGGCTAGGGGCTGGCTTCCAGGAGGCAGGGGGGCTGGAGGCCAGCTTGATGTGACAGGGCAGTGAGGGCCCTAACGGCTCTGAGCCCCTGGAGCGTCTGAGTTGGGCAAGATCTGCTGGGGCCAACACAGGATGGAGACACTTCATTTTTGGGGTGGGAGGGGCTGGGTCCAGGAGTCCCCTTCTCTCTCCTTGGGTCCTCGACTGCTGCCAGGCACCATTAAGCTAGCTTGAGCTCTTGGTTCAACTCCAGCAAGGCCCCCAGAACAAGGCCCGTACTTTGGCAATACAAACAGAACCAAAAAGATGCCTGCACCTTGTGGCCCGGAAGTCTCCTTCCGGGTAATTTATTGATAGAAAAGCATGCAACAGAAGTCCTGAAGGGGTGATTCATTGTGGTGGTGTGTGCACTCAGGTGGCCTGTGGAGGTCAGTCGTGCCATGGGAGCCCATGAGTCACTGCTTGCGTGAGAAAGTGCAGAACACCCAGCTATCAGCACACCAAGGCAGTGCCACTGTCCTGAGCCCAGACCCGCAGGAATGCACCCGAGGGCCTGGGGTAGGATTACCAGTAGCTTTTTTCAATTTTTCTTTAATAAACTTGACATGCTGCTTTTATAACAAATAGCAATAAAGTGAATAAATATGAGGGGATCTGGACGCAGCTGGTGCTTGTGTCCCTGGCAGCTCTGGAAAAGCCCAGCTCCCGAGTCTGGCCAGAGATAAGGTCAAGTTGCTTCAGGAAAGTGTGGCCAGGTGCCAAACCCTGGGTTGAAGGAGGAGGATGACTTGGTGACACTGGTCGGTGGGGGTGCGGAGGGGAGTTGCTATTTTGGGGGCCCACACAAGGTTCTGAGGGTCTCCTCCGTCAGTGCCAGCAGCATCCAGCCCAGGGGAAGATCAGCAGAGACTCTGGAGCTGTCTCCAGCTGCAAGTCAATGCTTCCCTCCAGAAAGCATCTCTGTGCGCGTCTATACTGCTTGCCCTTTGGTTCTGAATATGGTTGGGATCATCCGGGGCGTCACACCTCGTCAGCACTCTGAGAAGGGAGCCTCCCCAAGGAGCCCAGTGAGCAGGCCCAGGCCCTGTCCCACAGAAGGCCTGCTCCTTGGGGCACAGAGCACAGGCCCAGCCTGAAGACAGCTATATAAGGACGCCATCCTGGCCGAGAACGTGGGAAAGGCTCCAAGCAGCCAGTCCCACGTGCCCAGGGGACAGGCAGGCTTCCCTGCAGGAGGCAGGCAGGACCGCCTGTGGCTTTGCCGTCACAGCGGGACAGACTTCTGCAGTCCCCGGGATCTGACAGCTGCACGCACACAGGGGACACTGAAGCCTGAGGAGGGAAGAACTGCCCAGAGCCAAGGATCTGGAGTTCTCACAATGCAGGCGGAGCTGTGGGAGTGGCGAGGGGGAGGCTCACCCCGCTTCTGAGAGAGGAGCAGCTCAGTAAGCAGACTGCCGCTGGCCAGAGAGGGGCCTCGACCTGGCTTTGAGGGACGTGAGCTGGCAAGGAGGTGGTGCAAGTAAGGGCCTGGGGAAAAGGGGTTTTGAGGTCCCTGGTCCTCCAGAGCCTTGGGGTCCTTTGAAGCATCTCAAAGTGCTCTGTGGAAGGCAGGGCCAGGGGTGGGCCTCGGGCCCCCACCTGCTTCACTCGGAGCAGCGTTGCTTGGCCCGTTTTATGCAACTGGCTCCAGCTCTAACCCCTTGTCAAGTGGGAGGGAAAACTGAGGCTCAGAACGGTGGAGACAGGTCTGAAGCCACACAGCTCAGAGCCAGCTCACCACGTCCAAGACTTTCTAGCATGTGGCAGTGGCCATAATGGCACCCGCCTTATCCTCTGGGACCTCTCAAAAGCCCCCAAAGTGTACAGAACAAGCCCCACTCCCTACCCCACCTGCCCCTCCCCTACACTTAGTAGCCATGTCCAGTGACCAACCAACACCCTCCAAACGCTGGGGTCAACCGGACATCCTCTTTATTGGTGTTCCCCAGGTGCTGGTGCAGAGTCCCTGGGCTGAGGGGCCAGGGCTCTGAGGGGCAGGCAGCAGTCCCAGAGGCAGCAGGTGAGAAGGTGCATTCTGGCATAAAAAAGTTTCTGGGAAAAGGCTCTTGCATGTAGGAGTTGGCAGTGGCAAGAGGAATGGTGTGCCCTTCTTAGCCAAAGACACTCTTGGCGGGTCCAGCCTTGGGCTTCTCAAAGACGGTCTCGGAGCCGGTCCGGGTACCGCTGAACACCGATGGGGCGGTGGAACCAGCTAGTTCTGTGGGGAGGATCGGGGCGTGTGGGCAGGGGCATTTGTGGGGAGCGCCCCTCTGGGCTCAGGAGCTCTGGAGCCTCAGGAAAGGATGCTGGGACCCCTCGCCCCATCCCCCCCTCCCACTGGCACCCACCCGTGCCCTCCACACCCACTGCCCAGGAGGATACTCACCACACTCCCGCATGACCTGGTAGGTCTTGGACTTGATCTCCTGGTTCTTGGCTAGGTTCCCACGGGCCCCCTTCAGATCTTCCTCCTTCATGGGGGGGCGCTTCTTCTTGACGGGGGCATCCTGAGCACCAGCCTCGGAGACCCCAGAACCTCATCTTACAACCTGAGGCCTCAAGGCTGAAAGCCCCTTCCTACCTCACTGCCTTGGCCCTGAGACCCCTCTTCACTGGTCACTGAACTCCAGCCAATTTAAGGCCCCACTCCTTTTCCAGGAAGCCTTCCCAACCATGTCCCACCCCTACCTCCAAGTCTCTCTGTACGTCTCCCACAGACCGGGAGTGTGGGGACCATGGCTGTTGTGGCTGACACTGCCTGCCTAGCCAGGTTCAGGCCTGGGCACAAAGGGCAAAGGGGAAAGGGACTGGTTTTGAGTGGAGTTTCCTTGGGTGAATTCCAAGACTTCATCAGGTGGCAAGGCCCCTTAGGGATTGCCTCGGTCTCCCCCAAACTGCCAGCATTTGCCTTGTGCATTTTGGGGTGGGAACATGGTAGAAGAATCAGATGCCCGTGAAGTCACTCGGAAGTCAGTACCCACCCATGGAGCAGGCAAGGAGAACCCTCCACTTGGCAGGCTGGTCTGTCTGTCCCTCCAGTACTGGGGATATTCAGTCTCAGTGCTCGTCCTACACTGAGGACTACTACAGGCGCCCATGAGTCTGGGGCGTCATTCCTTCCTAAGCCCTGGGGACAGGTGCAGGGACTTCCTGGTCCCTGAGTCTGGGCTGGGCTCCTGGGGCAGCACACTACACCCCCTGCACAGAGATATATCCTGCTAGGGAGATGCCTAGGGAAGCTGTGCACCCACAGATCCTGCCTGAGGTGTACGCTCACGCACACGCACATGCACACACACACACACACACACAGCTACAAACAAGTCCTACAGTCAGCTTCTTCACACACAGGGGTATACGCAGACTCAAAGTATCATACATGTTGTCTCTACCCTCCAGACAAGCCACAGAATACCGCCAAACCCCCGGCAAGCTGGGGCCAGGGCTGCCCCTCCTGAGCCCCAGTCTCTCAGGGGCTCACAGAGCTTCTTGTTACGCCTGCAGTTCAGCTCAGGACACGACTGTCAGAGATGACAGTGTCCAGCTGTCCATCCCTGCCCCCATCCTGCCCCCCACACCAACCCAGCCTGTGCCGGGCCCTCCTACCTGGGACATGGTGGGTGTCCTGCAAGAGCTGCTCCAAAGGCGTCCCCCTGGCAGGCAGAAGCTGGTGGGAGAGATGGGGCAGCGCCGGCCCTCCGGGGCTTATATAGTCCACTTGCCTGCCCTGGAAAGCCACTCCCCTCCTCGACGGGCTTCCCGATGATTCAGGTCCACACAGCCTGTAGCTTCAGAGTTTATTCTTAGAGATGATAGGGGCTTGCGGAGCACTGCTGCCTGGGGGCCGCAGCCCTGGTGGAAGAGGACTGCTGGGGAGACCCCGTGGCCTCGGGAACAGCTGCTGTATGCAGGCGGGAGGTGCCGGCCCTGGCAGTGGGCAGAGTGTTCATGAGCATGGATCCTGGAATGTGTGTGGCAGCCTCAGCTGCCCACCTGGGAGAGTCTATCTCAATGTGGCGGGTGTCCCAGAGGAAAGGGAGGGCCCTGGGCCGGGCTGGATGGCTCTCAGCTTGTTTTTCTCTCTCTTCTACCCTTCCCTGTATTCCAGAGGAAAGAGAGTTTCTATCCCTGCACCGCAGCAGGGTAGAGGCTTCCTGTGTGTGACACTCGGGGGCATTTGTTCACAGTGAGCACAGCCTCTCACAGTTCATAGGTGAGCGACTGAGGCTGAGAGAGAAGCTCAGGGAGCCGCTTGTGTTTTTGCTGTTGTGCCTGTCCTCTGTCTGGCTCCTAGTGCAAGGTTAGCCAAGGGACAAAGAGGCAGGGGGTAAAGTGCCCAGAAAGGACCAGAAGGAAACCTGCTTTGTGGTGAGGGCACCGGTGAGTGCAGGCAGGGAAGGGCACAGAGCCTCTGACTGGACGAGGTCACCCAAAGGTGCCTGGCCTGACATTTAGGTTGCTCAAAGCAGGTAGGCGATCTCCCAGCCCATGGCACTGAGCTCTGGAGAGAGGGACAGGCCCGGGGTCTCTCCTGAAGGTCATTTAGCTCTCTGCTAGCCCCTAATAGCCCATCCTTGAAGGGGGGACCCTCGGGGCGCAAGGCAGGCCTCCCCACCTGAGACGGGTGTGGGTGGGAGGTCACCCACACTCCAGCTCCTTGTCAGTTTGTGATGAAGACTATTTTTATCCTTGGAGGCTCCAGGCAGACGGAACCCCAGGCACTGACATTTGGTTATCCTGAATGCCACGCCACTGCTGTCATGTCTCCAATCCCCCCTCCAAGCCCCAGGAGGCCAATGCGAGGACTGCCAGGCTCCATCTGAGACCAGTGCTCAGGGGCACAGACCCAGGGCTGCAAAAAGGGGCCGAGGCACCGAGGTGCTTTGGCACTGCCCCCCACCCCCCGCCAGCTCTGCCCAAGGAGGTGCCTGCCCTCCAGCCCCGTGGCCTCGCTCCTCACCCCTCATCCTCCCAGCACCACTTGCTCCTCAGGGGGAGGTAAAGCAGCTCCTACTCGCCTTAGCAGGTAGGTGGAAAAGGCAAGAGCACTTTGTCCCCTTGGCTGATTCTGGCTCCTGTGTGTGTCCCTGTCCCGAGGCGATGTGGGCTCATTCACACCTGGCTTCCTGGGGGAGAATCTTCTAACTCACTGGAAATTCTCTTGACCCCATTAAGCCGTTTCAACTCCAAAGAACACACAACCAACAACCACAAGTGATGGTTTGTTTTTTTAAAAAATGTATTAAGATGTGAAACTTTATTGTAAACCATTGTACAATGTTAAGTACATCATCTTCCCTTTCAGTTCAAAAATGGGTTTCTGTGTGTCGTCACTGATTAAACACCCCCACCAGAAGGGCAGTGGAAACAGGCCATGGCTCACTCACATTGGTCTGAGTTCTAATAAACCTCATGAAAAGAGAAATCAAATGAAACCAACCCACCCACCCAGCCAGGAGCTCAAGGAGCTGACGGCTGTTGGACCGGAAGTTCCTCACCGAGAGCAAAGCCCTTCAGAGCTGCCAATGCCGCACAGGGCAAAGCAGAAGCTCTCCACTCCTGGCTGGAAGTGTGTGCAACATCTAAACGCCAACCCTACACTCTACAAGGTGACTGCTTTGGCCAACAAGAAGTTCCTAGAGCAGTCTGTTTTGGCCTGGCTGTGGAAAGGCCAGGGAGTTGTTATCTGGAGGGCAGAGTGGGCTCCTGGGCAGCTGGAAGATGGGGCTGTGCTGCAGGCCACAGGACTACACTGCCTAGGACTCGAGCCTTATCTTTTCCCTTTAAAGACATGACAGGGCAATCCTCGCCTAGGACTCCCCGTCTCCAGGAAGGGGCATGCGTTAAAGCTTGAGGCAGGAGGCCACCAGCATGCCTGTGAGTTAACTGATGGGCCACAGGCCCTTATCTCGAAGGTCTTCTGAGCAGACCAACAAACCACTGCCGCCCAGGATCTCACCAACATCCCCCCACCCCCGCTTGCCACTGTCCACATCCCACTGACAACAAAAGGAAATAAGGCCAACAATGATTCCTTCCACTGAGATGTGACCGTTTTACCTCATCAAGTTATTTCCATCAGTTACAAAAAACTTGTTCATGACCCTGACTTATAAGCTTTCGTCATGTGTGGCTCGGCCAAGGTCCACGCTTAGACAGATCAGATGGATAGCACACAGTGTCCAGTTGGTGTCCCATTGTTTCTCAAGCACAGTGACACTTGCCATGTGGCCGGGTAAAGAGCTGTACCTCATAAGGCACCTTGGGGCAGGTGGTGAGGAGACTCATCCCATGGAGGGAGGACAGCTCAGGAGGAGGTTCTGACCATGGCCTCTGCATCTGGTCTCTCTTGAGACCGTGTACTAACCACAGGAAAACCCCAGTGACTACAGGAAACACTCCAGGGAATACAAACTGTGTGTGTGTGTGTGTGTGTTATACACCCGTGCACATACACACAGGAAGATAAGGCCAAACAGGCAAGGCTACACTGTCCAGTCCCACATACCACAAGGACCTCTATGATTAGACACTCATCCCTTAGTCGGCCAGCTCTACGATTGTGGCTCAGAGACTAAAGCCCTTATTGAAAATCAGGATATAGGGAAAAACCACCACTCACTCTCCACCACTTTGCCCCTTAAACCCACTGCCTAGCAGGCACTGGGAAGGGCCTTCAGATGAGCAGATTGTCCGAGGCCTACACAACCCCTACTTTCCACCTTTCATGGACTGTGGCTCCCCCACTCACTATGCCTGGAGCTCCAGGGTGAAAGGACATCTCTGCTTCTGAGCTCAGGAGGGTGCAGGAAACAGCGGTGGGCACAGGTTGTTTAGACAAGATGGAACAGAAGGGAAAGGTACAGAGCCAGCAATGCCCCGAGGGGCTGACTTACGGCAGGCACAACATCAGCTCTGGTCTCCCCCGGCACTGATTCTCCAGGGAGACACCCCACCATGGCAGGGATGGGAGGGGGTTAAGAGCCTAAATGAGGGCAGAAGCGGACACGGCCTCTAGTCTTGCACACAATCTCTCCTCCTGCTGCAGATGCCCACTTTTGCAGAGTTGTGGCCCACAGCAGTGACAGGTCCCCGTTCCTCTCAGCCCTCTGGTTCCAGACTCCCAGGGGAAGAAGGGCTGAGAAGCCCACTGCCCGTGCCCTGCCCCTGGGTGGGATTCTGAGAGGTGAGGCAGGCCCTGCACTTAACAGTTTGGCTCCCATGCTACAATTCAGACCCAATCTACTTAAGGGCAACATGTTTGTATGTAGGTATGAAAGGAAGGTTCTGGGCCAGGTGGGCTCCCTGCACCCATCTTACTTCTAGCTTGCACTTTAGTGGTGCAGTTTTCTGTTCCCGTAACTTCTGTGGCTGCCTCTGGGCTGTGATAAAACACTGGCTGCCCCACCGTGCTGCTTCCACAGCAGGGCAAGTGCTCGGGCCAACGCACTCCACGGTGGTCAGCAGGTTCCCAAAGCTACAGGGGCTGGTGGCCACGCTGAGGAGTGGGGGCCACTCCCCAGGGAGGGCACGTGGGCTTAGAAGCGCCTGGCCTGCCCCGTCCCTGGCTGCCCTGACTCTGGAGGACATGAGAAACAGGATCACTGGTCAGACAGGCATTCCTCAGACTGTTGTGCAAAACAAGGGGGTGACAGTAAGATGACAGGCAGAGGGCAGCCTGAGAGGGGCTGGTCCAGCAGCTGGTTCTGAAGGCTGTACCAGTGGGAGGCGCGGAGGCCCAGACTGAATTTTAAACTACAGATTTGGAGGCTCTGAGAGAGGGAACACACAGGGGTGGCCTCGAGGTCGCAGTTTCTCTGGACACAGACCTCTTAGGCTCTTTTCTTGGTCACATTTAACCAAAACTTCAACCTGCCAGCAGAAAGCCAAGCCAGTGGACAGAGCACTTCCTGTCCCACATGCACCGGGGCCCCAGGTCGACCTTCAGACCAGCTGCCTCCTGCTCAGGCCTGAGTTACACAGACCCACTGGATTTGTTCCTTTCAGATAAGGCCTCATCTCCCTTCCTGCTGAGACCATTTACCTCATCTTATCGCAGATCACCTAAAAATATTCCAAATAAAAAAAACTCCTGACTTTTTCTTCCCACCAGTTCACATCTCACGGAAGGCAAACAAACCCATTTCTTTGGGGATTAAAAAGAGTTCTTAAATACAATAGTATGAAAATATAACTTAAAAATATAAAAGTCAACAGCATACGGAAGACTTAAAAATCTATGTTTTGCCCATTAGTCCCATAGGAAATAAACACATACTCAAAAAACATTAACACTGTGACAGCTCATAAAACTGGCTTTAGAAATCAGTAGTTACAAAGCCATTTCGAGTAAGAAAGCATTGCGGTTCCAACTTGGTCAATGAGTGACTTTTAGCCCAAAACGTGTTATGCGTCCACGCGCCCAGAGCCTTGCGGAAAGGCTCTGCCCAGAGCCCGTGTGCACACACGGTTCCCTCCTCAATGCCACCCAGCCAGACACAGGACGGGGCTTCTGGGTCCCTCGCGACACCGTCTGGGACAACGACAGACAGACAAAACGCCTCACTTGCATATTTGGTCAGTGTTTGTAGTGCAACTGAGTGGGAGCCTCCGGTTGCCGCGAACCCCTCGGCGCTGGCCCGCCCTCCCTCTGCCGAGTCACAGTAGTCTGGGAGCGGGCGGAGGCGGCAAGAGGGGCGGAGGTAGAAGAGGAAGGGCAGAGAGGAGGGAAGGAAGGGCCCGGCAGCCGGCTGGGCCCCCAAACCTGACCCCAGCACAGGAGTGTGTCACACGGGCAGCCCGAAGCGGTGCTTCTTCTTCTTCGCGGGCTTCAGGGGGGTCAGTCTGCGCAGGTCTTCCTCTGTGTCAGACTCCTCCATCTCGTCATCGGCTGAGATCAGGATCTGAGGCGGGGGGTGGGGAGGGGCATGGCCTGAGTCACCGCCAGCCGTGCCTTCTTCCTCTGCCCTCCCTTGGTCCCGGCACCAGGGTGCCTACCCCTGTAGGAGGCCTCTGGTCTCGTGATTCTTTAGGAGAGGGTGATGGGGAGACCCCTTTACAGAGTGAGACCACCCCAGACTCAACTTACTCTCAGTGTATTCACGGCTACTGAAACCAGCATCCAGGTGACATGCCCGCCCCTCTGGAGCGCTCCCTTCTCCACCCAACCTCCAGCTGGAACGGAACCCCAGGCAGAGCAAACTCAGCAAGGACTTGCACCCTAAGGTCATCCTGGCAAAAAAGCCCAATCTTGACAAGGGGCATCACAGGTCTTTGAGGTTGCCCTAAATACAGCAGGAGCAACTAAAGAGCCCCCTTGCTCAAAAGGAAAAGAGAACATCTGTGGACCACACACAAGGCAGGCGGGCTTCAGAGCAGCTGCTTTGAACCAACTTTGTAACCTGTGAAGACAAACGGGAGCCCCTTCACTCTTCTGAGCCCGTGGAATGACTCAGCCACGGAGTAAGGGGATCCCGGGCAAACACACTCACTCACTGCCAACCTGACACCTCAGTCCTCTGGGTACCATGGAAAGACAGGGACAGTGGCATCTGTACAGGGGACCATGAGCTCATGCCCTCCCGGAGGCAGGATGGGGACATCACCTCTCCCTGGACCACTCCCTTGGGGCTCCCAGATTAAACTTTCTCTCTGGCTCCCGACTGCTGGTATAGGTGCACCCCAATCACAAAGCACCTTGCCTGTCATGCTAAGACCTTTGCCTGTACCTCATTTCTTGTCATCCCGTCCTACCCTGAGGAACACAGGCCGCTCTGGCCATGAAGGGTTTCACAATACCCAGATGCCGCACCACATGACCACGACTGCTCATGAGTCACTGCTTCTGCCTGTTGTGCTGTTTGTCATTCACTTAATGTTCACCAGGCTTGTACAGCACGACAAGCCCGGTCCCAGGCCGGATCCTAGGGACATCTAGAGAAGATACGGGCTTACCCTCTGTCCTGCTCTTCTACCCAGCTTTCAAAACTCCCTCCAGGATGCCCCCAGGAGTTAAGCAAATTGTTCCAGAGTCCTCACAGGGCTTTTGTTAACACCTCAATCTCAAAATCATCAGTCTTATAGGCAGCTTTTCAGACATTCACATTCCCCTCATCTAGTCTGAAGGTCTCTCAGGGAAGACATTACCTCAGCCATTTCTGTGGCCCCACCCTCAGTGCAGAGCTTGGCACACCATGGTGGCTGACGAGGCCGCTCAGGAGGCAGCCCTGGTCTCACCCCGCAGCACACAGGCGGGTGCCCAGGGAGTACAACTTTGCCTCCACGCTCCTAGTTATGACTACCAGTCTCCTTCAAGTCCAAACCTTTGAACTTAGGAAACCTGAAAATATGGGGAGATGAGGTTCCCTGGAAAGGTCTGGCTACCCCTACGTTTTAGACGTTTCTAGCGGGCTTAGCCAACATTTCCACTGCTCTGTAGTGGTGGGCAGGAATTCAAACACCTGTGTGCTTAAAGGTCAAGGATCAGGCCCCGGAGAGTCCTTGCCAGCTTCCCTGGAACAAGGCAGCCCCTCCCTTCCTGTCTTCCTCCACTGGCAGAGGGCCTGGGGACGGACTGTCCGAGGCAAGCTCCCACCACACTGGGTGCTCCACCTTCCTGCCCTGGGAAGGCCAGCGGCTGCGGGGATAGGTCCCTGCGGGATGGAAGCTGTCAGCCTCCTCTCCCTCCCCCTGGCTGACAAGACCAGATGCAAAGAGAGACCAGAGACCTCCCTGGGTCAGGTGGCAGCACGGGGGCTCAGCCCTACCTCAGACTCTGACTCCTCGTGGGATGCGGCCCTTCGGTAGCGGACCTTACTCCCATTCCTCGAGTCCTGGTTGGCTCCCCTTTCTTCTAGTTTAGCTTTCGTCCTCCCCTTTCTCATGAGGAAATTGTCCACTACCCAAAACATCAAAGCCTGTGGGGAGGAAACCTGTGTGTTACCCTGGGATAAGCCATTTGTGAAAGCAGAGTGGACCTCCTCGCCACCCCTCCCACCCGCTCCAGATTACAACGTCCAGAACAAGGGGAAGAAAACCCTCATCCAGCCCACCCTGCTCTCTGTCACAAGCTTTCAAAGAGAGGCCCACTCTCTACTTCCTTTGCTTCTACTTTCTTATCAGAGAACCAGCAAGAAAGCCCTGGCCCTCTTCACCCCGAGTGGTGATAACTGATGGGGACAGCCTGCCTTGAGCCTTTGCCTTAGCCACTAGCAAGGTCTCCAGGCTCCTGGATAGGGATCCTCCGATGGGCTGAGCGGCTGGCCCGCACAGTCAGCCATGTCTGTCAGCCCCAGGTGCCTGAAGCATCTCTTCTCACAATTTCCTAACTTCTAGCCAGTGTGCTTGTGAGCTTCTCTTGGAGTTCTGTGTAAATGACAGAGATGGATGCCGGACTTCCTGATCTAGAAATCCTTGTTATGTGTGTGGTGGGAGGTCCCCTGGCAGGGAGGGTGAGACCAAGTTCCCGGATCCTCCATCTTGCACAGGGGGCCTGGAGCACAGGGTCTGCTGAGAAAGCGATCCTGCCATCTCCTCGTCTGGAGTGGGGATGGGGAGGGGCAGACGCTCACACAGAGGGACGTAGGGGCCGTAAGGGCCTTTCTCTGTCAGACTCTGAACTGTGAACAGGACACTGGAAGCCAGAGAGCACACGGGGGTAGGAAAATGCAACATGGCACTGACATTGACAAAGAAGGGGACGATCAGCATGACGATGGCCAGTTTCAGGTCTGGGTTTTCAATGGGATTCAACAGGGCCACCTGTAAAGAGAAGCAGACTCCGTGAGGTAGGGAGAGACCACAGGGAAGGCACCTGGGGGTGGGGGTGGCAGCACGAATCAACCCATGAAGCCCTGAGCAGGGCAGCGTAGCTTAGACCACAGGCCCCAGAACTTGGATGGGTAGAGCGCCCTAATTCTGGGGCTGCACAGCCGTCCCCAGGTGTGGCTGCTAACAAGGCAGCCCCGGGGGAGCACCCGGAGCAGTCAGGGCTCTCACAGCTTGCTCAGGGCTTTGCACCTGAAGTGCAGTGGGCTTACGACCACCCACCAGGAGGCATGGGGGGGTGGGCGCTTTGGGGAGCTAGAGGGAGCAGAGTCAGTGGATGCTCATTACAGACACTAGCACTGAGGCGCCAGGCCGCTTTCTAACAGAAATCCTGCACCCCAACCACCTCCTGAGGGACAGACAATAGCTCGGGAAAGCCTTGGTTTATTCTCTTAAAAAATAAAACTCAGATACAAATAAAACCAAAGGAAGGCTAAGTTCTGAGCTACTCGTTTCTGAAGGCTCTTTGGTTGGTTTCATGTGGCCACGTGGAGGAAATGGGGGTTGAGGCTAGTCTGCAGTGGCACCGGGGCTAGAGGGCAGGGCTGAGGGAATCCCGGGGGCAACGAGCAACCAGCAGCTTCCTGTGCCACCACAGGGCTCAATTAAAGCACTGGCAGAGAGGGGTGTGTGAGGACACGTGCACATGAAGGGAACACCCTCCTGACAGTTACAGTCATGAGGCCTGAAGACCACATCAGCCAGTAAGCAACTCGAGGGCAGGGACTCTTCTCTCCATTATGTGTCCCAAGGCTTAACCTGGAGCAGAGTTTACGTGATTTAAGGAGATGGAGGCTAAGCGGAAAAACAAGTTCATGCTCTCGACAGGCGGCCCTATCACACCGAATCCAGGCTGCATTCATGGAAGTAAAAAAGAAACAACGAATTTGGTTTTCTAATAAGGCTGGGAGTGTGTGGGTGGTAGGGGAAAAAGTACTGTCTTGCTTGGTGTCCCAAGGAGCGGGAAAGAAGGGACAAGAGCAAACCTTTTTCCACTGAAGTATGAGGAGGACGATGAAGACGACAGACTTCTCAAAAATCATGATCACAATGTAAAGAGCACACTGCCCAACCCAGGCTCCACACTGCAGAGGGTCTCCTGCGGGGACAGTGGGTGTGCTGTCACGTGGGGCCCGGACACCACGCCCCCGTCCCGTACCCACCGCTCCTGTGAGCCCTCATGCCCCCAGCCCACACCAGAACCCTGGCTCTAAAGCCACTTAATAAGCCCTCAAAGCACCAAGAATCACTTCAGCCCAAGTAGACAATTGTGGGTGTTTTAAGACAAAATCAGAGAATTCCTAATTTGGAGATACCAGAGTGGCATTTCTTTCAAGAGATTCTAAGATATAATTAAAAAAAAACTAAAGTTAGTAAGTGCTCACTGCTGGGGCTCAGAGAGTTGGCTCTTTTTGTCCACTGGCAGAGCTGTGTGCAGCAAGGCTGCTATTATTATCCATTGTTGATTTTTCCAGTGACTGTGGTGCCATCCATCCCTTCCTCCATCTGTGGCCTGGCATGTTTGGGACTGTGATGGCAGCAGATAACCTCATTGCTCATCTGCTACCCCCGCCCACCCTCCCCGCTGTCCCTGCCGTCCTCAGCCCCGAAAGCAGAATTTGGACTGGAGGGACTCTGTTTCTGTCTACACGGAGCAGCCCCAAACAGCTTTGGCTGGGGACAAAGAAGAAAAGTGGGCAGCCCTCGTGGCAAGGGGACAGCAGTGAGGGGCCGTGCCTTGGGGCTGTGCCAAGGGTCTATCTGTGACCCCATCAGTCACTGTGTTTGAGAAATGGAGAAATCCCAACAGTCCAAGCTGGGGCACACACAGGGCCTGGAGGGCCTCCAGAATGTTTCAACAGGGACTAGAAGGAAGGGTGGGAGTCCAGCCCCAGGGAAGGATCTGGATCCTCAGGGACAGGCAGAACCCAAGGGATGGGCCCCCGGGGAGCCACACATGCCTCACAAAAGCAGGAGACGCAGGGAGTGGGGCGGGTCCCCCTGAGGCCGGCTCTGGGAGCTCTCCTGCACTGGCGTGACCACCGCTGGCTGGCCGGAAGAGCGGGGTGGACGGTAGCTTTCCAGAGGAGGCAAAGGCCCCACACTAGGCAGTGAGAAGAGAATGTGACCCAAAGAGAAGGCTCCAGCTTCATGCCGGAGTCTACGGTTCCTGTAGCCATCCCTGCACAGGCCCCAGCCCTGCCAACGACACACAGTAGAAGCGCGAGTGAATGCCTTCACGCAGCTGTAATGGACACAACACCAGGCCATTCCCTTTTCTGGAAAGCCTCGGCAGAAGGGTGCAGAAAGCATGCAGAAAGCCAAAGGGCCTTTTTTTGAGCTCGTCCTGTCTACTTTCACTTCTGGGATTAGACACATCTGAGCCAAGAAACCACTTCAGAAGCACAATCTCTCCTAGCCAGACTTTTAATGGAGTTCTGTAATCCCTTCAGTAAACTATGTGACCTTACTGAGAAAAGTTCTCAGAAATAACCAATCAAAATGTTTGTTAAAAATCATTAAGACTGGAAACAGGCAGAAAACACTAGCAGGCAGTATCTCTGAATGGCAACCGCATGTTTAGAGTCAACTGAACAAGGGCCCACACTTAATGTCAAGAGAAAACCTACTTGCTCCGTGTGTTTGCTCCCTCTGCCCTTCGGCTTGAGGGGACTGACAAAGGGGGACGTGTTTTCCTCCCTCCCCTCGTGCTGCCCTGTGAAGGTTAGCCGCAGCTGTGGCTTGTTTCATTTACACGCTTTAATAAAGAACGTGGTGGGGGAAAAAAAAAAACAAACCCTGTGCAAACCTGCTCCCACATGTCTTCCTCTGCTCTGTCCGGACCACATGCAGCCCCAGCTGGTATGGACGCATGTGCCCGTTTGTTTTTCAGACTTGTTTCACTTGAGAGCCTTCCAGACATTCCCCACTGTCTCATCGTTTCAGGACAGACACGCCAGGCATTCTCGATGTGTCCTGCTTTGTACCACACTGGACAACCTCAGATACCTACATGGGTGTTTTGTTTTTGTTGAATAATTTCCTCAGGATAAATCATAGGAATAGGGGACAAACGGACAGAACATGTCTGTCTCTCAAGGCTTCAGGAAGGAAGCATTAGGACAGAGGCAGGCAGCAAAACCCACAAACCACAACACCCGGGGGGCACAGACCCTGCCTTCATGGCTTCTGCTTGGGGAGAAGCTGCCTGGTCATTCAGGCAAGCACACCTGTCACCTGCATCTCATCTCGCTCCTCAGGGCCTGTGGCTGATTCCTCAAGTCCCATGTGCTTGTCAGTAAGTTCACCCTCTCCTCTAGGGACAAAGGAAGCACCTAGAAAACAAGCCCTTCTTCACTTAGCTGAGAAGAGAGCTCTGGGGGTTACATGGAAACACGGCCTCAAGCAGTGGGGCTGGCCAACACGTGTGGTGGACAGAACAACGACCCCATCAAGACGACTGCATCCTAGTCCCAGGACCCTGTGCACGTGGCAGGTGACCTGGCTGAGGGGAGGAAGCCGCTAACTAGCTGACTCTAGGAAAGGGAGAGTACCCTGCAGTGTCCGGGTGGGTCCAGCATGTTCACAAGGGCACTTCAAACTGGAAGGAGGTGCTGGAAGGTCAGCATGAAAGTGTGTGAGAGGAGCTGCCGGCTGCGGGCCCCTCGGGGGGAGGAAGGGGCCAGTGCAGGCAGCCTCTAAGGGCAGGAAAAGGCAAGGATATGGGTCTCCCCCTAGAGACTCCAGAAGAAACCATTCCTGCTGACACCTTGACTTTACCCTGGGAGATGCAGGCGGGACGTCTGAACTATATGACTGTAAGGCAAGAAATCCGTGGTGTTTGAAGCTACTCATTTCGTGGCAACTTTTTATAGCTTTGACAGAAACTGGTAACGTGGACAAAAACAGAAATGAGGTAACAGGACACATGCTCCCTCCCCAGGCTGAGGGAGGACTCAGGACAGTCTTGGATAAAGGGCAGCTGCATCTGGAGACACCTGGCTTGAAGGCTCTGGCTCCTAAACACAGTGGTGGGAGGACAGGGTGGCATGGAAGCAAGTGGCTCAAGCAGCCGCTGCCTCCGTGACGCACTGGGGACGGGTGCAGGGCCTGCTGCGTCATGACCAGCCTGGCCTCGCCTCCTGCGGGTCCCCGAGGGGCTGTGGATGCACCTCCGACAGCACTGGTCACCACAGCGCAGACCAGAGCCCTGCCTTCCAGGATGGGTCTCAGTGGCAAGCAGTGAGCAGCACTGTCCTTGGAAGTGGTGGGAGAGGAGACCACCTCCCCTCTATCCCAGCTGTGCACTGGCTTCCCATGTCACTTAAGCTCTCTGGGCATGAGCCTATGAGGATGGCACCGCTGTGGTCTGTATGCGTCCTCTAAGCTGAGGTGTCATGACTCGGGGCTTCTGAGAAGCCTTACCTTGAGCCAAAGGAGCACACACTGTGTGTCAGACACTATCTTTAAGTCCGTGACTCATCAGGCATTGAGTAACGGGGCTAAGAAAAGCCCTCCCCTGAGTTCATCTCCCCTCAACAGAGACAAACAATTACTTAAGATTTCTAGAAATACCCAAGGACGCACAGCCGGCTCCAAGAATCGGCTCCTTTCTACATGTTAGTGCCTTGTGAGTCTTCAGTCATCTAGGAGTGACCAGCCCTGAGGCCCAGACCCATGAGCTCTGTAGAAGGTGTGAGTAGGAAAGGAGAGCGGAGGTCCAGAATTCCTTCCCTTTTGTTCTGTGTGTGCCCCTATGTGTCCAAGGCCCCGCTGGTACTGTTCCCACTGAGACAAAGAGCCCCTGCTCCCAGACAGCAGGGGCCAGCTGTGAAGGTGGTCCTGAACTCCTACAGTGTGGCAAGGCCTCAAGGAGGCACCTATCATGGCAGCCGTGCTCAGGCCACAGCCGGCCGCTCCTCTGGGAGTACAAAGTCAAGGGTGATGCGTTTGTGCTGGAAGACAGTGTGAAGGGGAACTTCCTGCCCAGGCTATTGTCCTTGGGGTCTGAGGAGAGGGGACTGGGTCAAAGGTGAGCCAGCAGCCACAGGTCACCTGTTTCAAGCCATGTCTCTGTGAGGGAGGATGGACCCGGTGTCCCTGGTGACTGTACATGCTAGACACTAGTGGGGGGCCAGCCTACTGTCAGGAGACAGCAAGGCAACTTGGCCCCGGGAGGGACAGATCCTCCGCCTTGACCTTACAGCCCCTGTAGTGAAATGGCCCAATGACAGGACATGTACGGACATGCAGCAGAAAGAGGGCCAGCTCCCTACTGAGCACCTCCCAAACCTGGAGCCGGCCCTTCTCTAAGGAGGTGTGTGTACTCTGTGTACTCTGTGGGAAGCTCAGCACAGTGAGGTGGCCTTAGAGCGGCAGGTGTGGCCTCCGGTGCCCTCTGGTGGAAGAGGCCAATGCCGTGCCCCTCCGTGTGTCCAGGGCTCTTGGCTCCTGCTGTCAAGTGGCAGTAAAGTGTGTACCTACACACCTCAGACCGTGTGGATTTGGACGCTAGCAGGGGACCAGAACCGGCCCCGCAAGCACACAAAGGAGACAGCCATTGGCTCCTGAATCCCTGAATCCACAGGCCCAGTGGGCTGTACAGGAGAAGGAGCAGAGCCCCCTCTAAGAAGCCCCCTCCACACTCCATGCTGTGTTACCAATGTCCGTGCTACGTTACCATATTCGCCAAAACGCAGAGACTCCCACTGCTGCCACTCCACCAAGACGCTGACAGCACGCACGCCCACGTAGATGAGCAGCATGCCTACGGTGGCATCCAGGAGGAAGTTGATGAGGTACCTGGGAGGAGAGGACACAGCAGTACTGTCAGAAAGCGAGGGCCACTGGTGGGCTGACTACAGGCCTGATGCCCCAGCACTTTGGCCTGTTCTGGGGGCCGGTGCAAGAGGCTGTGGGGCTCACTCCCAGGAACCCTAGCGAAGCCTCCCTGTGACAGTGTGCTGACACTCATCAGGGACAAAGAAGCTTGGGAGACCTCAAATACTCCCAGCAAATGAAGACCTGACACAAGACAGAGTGCCTGGAAGTAGTCAAGGAAGTCAACAGGGAAACAGAACTTAATTCAGTAAAAGAAGTCTGCTCCATGACACTGTTCACATCCTGACGGTCCAGTTCAGTGCTCCTGTTCCAGGGCAGTTCAGGAAATGGTTTCTGGGGTTTCTTACACCAAACAGGTCGGGGCCATGTGGCCCTTCTTCTTTCCCATGTTTCAGATTCAGAGCCTACCATCGAGGCAAGTACAAATATTTCTTTTTTTTTTTTTTTAATTTTTAAAATTTATTTCTAGGAGAGACAGAGAGAGACAGCGTGAGCAGGGGAGGGTCAGAGAGAGACGGAGTCACAGACTGAAACAGGCTCCAGGCTCTGAGCTGGCAGGCAGCACAGAGCCCGATGCGGGGCTCGAACCCACGAACCGTGAGATCATGACCTAAGCGAAAGTCGGACGCCCAACCGACTAAGCCACCCAGGTGCCCTGAGGCAAGTACAAATATTTCTAAGGAGACAGCTTTACTCCCATGGAAAAGGCACGATGATGGGAAGAGAGGGGAGGGTTGGAAGAGCACTCCCACCTTGATCATGTGCTCTTTTGTAAGGTCTGTTCCCATGTGTCTGATACGTGCCTCTCCCCTCACCAAGGAAAGGGCCTCCCTCGAGGGCCCGTACCCAGACCTTGCTGGGCACCCTGACCACAGACCCCAGTTCTCCACACAAAGCAGGAGACAGGCCACCACTGGGTCAGGTACTAGCCCTCTGGGATGCCAAGTGGCTCAGAAAGCCCTCAAAGTAGTTCCAGATGCCACAGATCAACTGGCACTTTCTACTTTCTGAGGCTTAAGATATTTTATGCAGACTCACAACCCACACCCTAAGATAAGGCCCAGGCTTTAGCGACACACACAGCACACTGAAACCGGAGGGATGCCCTGCTCCTCTGTGCTCAGGGCCCAGTTGGCGGCCCTGGAGTGGTGAAAGGTGGTTTCTGCTGCCTGCCCTTCCTCTTTAAAATCACAAGGGGTCACTCTCAGACCAGAGACCAAGGCATAGCAACTGCTGCTGCCAAGGCAATTTCTCCAAGTTCACAGCTGGCCCTAAGCTAAGCTGCTCTTGGATGCTTACGTCTAATTGGTTTCAAGTGGTTCTCACATCTGAGGCTCACCCTGAAAATAACAAGAACACCTGATACACATACACACGTCAGTTCATTCATTCCCTCACCAAATATTTATGCCTACTGCGCTCCAGGCCCTGGGAACAAAGACTTTAGAAAGCTCCATACTCTGTATCCAACACAGATGAGACCAGCAGACAGCAGTGGGCCCCGAGCCAGACTGGCCAGCTTCAGATTCCACTCCGTCACTACTGAGCCCTGTGAACTTAACTTACATCCTCTCTCTGTGCCTCAGTTCCCCAAGTTGTAAAATGAGGATAACCAAAGTATCTAACTTGTAGGGCTGTTATCAGGATCAAATGAATCAACACACGTGAACAGTGCTTGCCACCTAGCAGATGCTATACAAATGTGTTTTTGAATCATAGCCCCTCAGAGTCACAAAAGCTTAACAATCCTCTACCCCCGCAAAGCTGTCTGGAGCAAGGAGCAGAGTCCCCAGCACAAGGGATCCCTGCAGCCACAGGGAGCAGCTCATCTCCTTCTGTTTGTAAGTGTCTCTCTTCCCTGAGCTGAGGCTGGCTTCCCTTCCGGTCTGCAGACTCCCAAGATGCCCCAGGGCCAGCCCAGCCCAGCCCAGCCCAGCCCCCACCTGTAAAAAGTCACAGGGCAGAACAAGGATGGCAGGCCCCGGAACAGACCCCAGCACATGCAGCCTTCCTAGGGCCCAGGTCCCCTCTACTCCCTGAGCACCACCAGCTCTTGCACCCGCTGCTGGGGCTCTCATGCCTTTCCTAAGTTTTAACAACAACTTCCTCTAACTGAACTGTTAACTTCCTCACTGAGAAGTGCCCCCGTGGTTGGTTTCCAGTGGCGCTTATACCCATCAACTCCTTAAACTTTCACGGGAATCCTGGGGATGTGGCAGGACACATGGACAGGGGAGCAAACTATGGCTCAGTCTGGCCTCTCAGTCAAGTGCCTTCACCATACCAAGCTCCATCTTGGGTCTTTTCTGCTCCAGGCTGAGCACTCAAGATCTGTCAACAGCCCTTTCTCCATCCTGGCTGTGATTCAGTTTGTCAATGTTCCTCTTAAAGCTGTATAATCTTCTTTTTGTAGACGAGCAATGGAAGCGCTGCAAGAGAGAGCCACATGGCCAAGGCTATGCCAGGAGTGAGGTTAGAGCCTCCCGTGCAAGCAGCTGGCTCTCAGTCTCTCCTGGTCAATGACATCAAGACGATTAACAAGATCAGAGGATGACTCAAGCCTGCTGGGGAGGCAAGAGTTGGAAGGACAAGGCCCTTTCCTTACCATCTCCCCTACACTTTCCACTCCTCCACTTTGGGGCTACATACACCCAAACATCCAAACACATCACAACCTGTCCAGATCTTAGAAAAAGATTCTGGGAGACTTCACAACTTCCTTCTGAAATCTGAATCTACATAGTCACCAAGGAAGGAGGCATAAAAGAATCTTCCAGTCCACATGATCTTAAATGCACACTAAACCTCTTGGCAAGGGACTCACCAGCCATCTGCCCTGCTCTCCCAGAGGCAGGGCAGGCCAGGGGTGGGGCAGAGGGGACCACAAAGGGCAGAGGGCAGCATGAGCAAAGGCACAGAAGCAGGAGGTAGCTGGTGGGGTTGAGGGTCACAGCACAGCACTGGCTGGAGTAAGTCTGAGCCAGGAAGCTAGGAGATGGAGCCAGGATAGGGCCGGTAAGCCTCCTTCTCCACTCCATCTGCCAGGAGAGGCGCCGCTGGGGGATTCAGTCAGATTGCCTGGGGTGGGGGACTGTGTGGAAGGTACACTGCAGGGATGAGCTGGAACAATCTGTGGTCTTCAGGTCAAAGAGGTCAATGATAGTCAACAATGGCTTTGACCCTGAGCGAGTGGCACCACAGAGGAGCCCTTGTGTGTCCAGTTCCAGCAGAGATACTCCTTCAGGGCACGATGCTGTCCTGCTAGGGATTGCTCCCTGCCAGGAGGCATAAAAGTGCCAGAACACCAAGGGCCAGAGTTCTGATGAGCAGAAAGCCAACACACAGGGCAACCGTAAGCAGGCAAAGCCCCAACAGTCAACTGACAGCTGTGTCTGAGCAACCACAGGCAGCACACAGAATATGGTCATGTGGGGAAGCACAGCGCACAACGGGGGACTGCTCCCTCCCCAAGCTAGAGGGAACATGACCGGTGGCAGAAAGCAAGACCAGCCTACAATTTCAGTGTATGGGTGGGTGATGTCTGTACTCAAATATGGGCCACTTACAGTGAACAAGGGTCCTCTTCAGTGAGATCTGCTAGGTACACATTTGCAAAGTGGATGAACAGCATTCCTATGGCTTGTTTCGAAGTGTCTAAAAACCTGCACAAAATAGGATCGGCACTTGTTATCGCCCTCACCAGAGGGTAATATCCAATTTAGGGAAAATGAGAAGTCTGAAACGGGAAGAAAGCTAGCAGCGAGATCTCAACCTCCCCAGTACTGGTCACCCCTTTCTCTGGCATCAACACTAACTCAGGCTTGGCATCTCAGCTACCTTCTGAAACCTTCAATAACACTGCATCTGAAATCCCTAAAAGGCCACTGATGTATAACACATATTTAAACATATATTTAAATTAGATGTGTTTACTTTTTCATTTTTTGTTACTTCAAAATGAAATGCTTGATCACAGCTGTGTGATGAAGTCCAAGGGGTCTCCGTATTAAAGAGCTCCCATTCAACCTCACTAAGAGCTAAATGCTATGCAAGACTAACGAGACACCCAAATCCAGCACTGCAGCTAAAACCCTGAAGACTTCTGGCTGCATTTACACCCCGGGCTAGCTTGCGATGGGCAAACTTTTCCTGTAAGAGGTCAGAGAGTAAATATTGTAGGCTTTGCAGGCCACTGTTCTCTGCAGCAATTGGTCACCCCTTGGCACTGCAGGGTGAGAGCAGCTGTGGAGGCCGCCATTCCTGTAACACTATGAAAATGGACAGCACGCCAGATTGGGCCTGTGGGCTGCAGTCTGCCAACCCTTGGGCTAGAAGGCAGGGTGTTCACTCTGGACACACCTCACTGCCCCATCCACGAGGGGTCTTTAGTTTTTCCTCTGTCACGAACACCTGGAAACCAGGTGGTCTCTGGATTGTGGCCAACTCTCTTGGTCTCCCAGGCTGGGCATCCCGGGTTGGGCCAGGCCACTGAAGGGGGTGTGAAGGGCCACATAGGCATGGGTAATTGGCCTTGGGGTCTTAGGGCTGAACAGATCTTGGAGATTATCCAGACCAACCCTGTGACTGAAGCTTGAAAATCATTTCCTAAAATAATGGCAAAGAAGAAGTCCCGCCCCCCAAAGGGGAACATGTACCCCACAGAGTGCCCCAGCTCCAGACCCTCCCCAGGTTCCCCGGCCCAAGCTAGAAACCCAGATTCAAGAGAAACCGACTGTGGAAAATAAAAACAAGAATGATCAACATTCACAAATAATGCACTGAAGATCAATAAGGAGATGCTTAAAATGTTATAAAGGGCCTTTATCACAGTGATTTATCTGAAGTCTTCTCTGGAGGGAAAAGGGCTATTTTGTTAACAGAGCTGCAAGCCTAAGGCAGCCCAAGAAAGTCAGCTTCTTGTGGACATCATGTTGTCCCGAACAGCTGGCTGTCCCCTCATTTTCTGGAGGGCTGTCTTTGGAAGCTGTGCCTGAAGCTCTACCAGCCTTTTATGAAGAAAAAACTGCTACCACAGGGTCATCCCAGGACTAGGAAAGCCTAGCTTGGGGGAGAGAAGCATATACATGGTATATCTGAGCAATCTCCAAATTTAGATAATGTTCTGCTCACACACACAGACTACAGAATCTGAGGACTGATCACAATCTAACACCAAGGAGACATAATTAAAGGAGCTTGCAGCACACGCTGATGTATCTAATCTTCCATTTTCTAAAACTGGACAGCGGTGTGGTGATAGAATAAAGGCAGAGCTGAATGTTAGCTGGAGAAATAGAAGGCTTTCATATTTTTCATAGTTCCTGATGATTAATTCAACTAAGGGATCCTAACACTTTATGTTCTGGAGAAACTCTCACATTGCCCCCCTCCCCGCAACTAAACCCCAAATAGCCCATGGCATTCTAGGAAGGTGTTAATATTTAAATACGCACCATATCCTCCACGGCCGTCTCTCATGCTTTGGCTCTCTGAAGCGCTTGACTGGAAGAAAACACACACCATTCAGTGGCTTTCCACAGTGACAATGAAGCACAATGCATTCAACAAGTGGGTTAGTGGTACACTTGGGGCTGACACTACTAAGTTAAGGTACTCGTTCTTTTAACATGTACCAACGTACAATAAGCTGTGAGGGTCACAGAGGCCCTGCACTGGCTGCTGACTGGGACAGACTCTTCAGAACCGGACACTTAGGAAGAACGACTCCTCACAACGTGTGGAAAACTGTATTTTCTTCTCTTTCATGACGAGGTTCTCTCAGGGCCTGGAGACCACAAAGTGGAATGCAGCTACCTCCAAAGTCAGAATCCGCTCTATGCACCGACAAATCCTAACATTCGCTTAGTGCCCCCTCCTAGCTAGGCACTGAAACAAAGGCTGAGGCAGCAGCCCAGCGGGAGGGCAGGCACACCACCATATAGTGAGGAAGTGCTAGGGAAGAACTATGTCCCAGGCAGAGTGAGGGCGCGAGGGAAGGATGACCACGTCCGGCTGCCAGGGAGGGCCCTGGTCAGGAGAGGCTTCACTGGTGCGAGGTGGCCAAGCCAGGTTCTGAAGGTTGGGTAAAAGTTGAGCAAACAGACCAGGGAGTCTGGAATGAATCCCATAGGGAAGGAAAAGCCAGGGCAGAGTCAAAGCAGAGTCAAAGACATGGTTGGGACTGTGTTTTAGAAAAACAGCTCCGAATCATATAGATGGTGAGCTTTTGGGGCTGGAGAAAATGCTGGCTGAGCCCCAGCACCAGGCAGGGGTGTCCCCAGCTACAGAATAGCCAGTAGGGGTGGGGCGCTCCTTCACCAGCAGGCTGACCTCAGGTGGCAGAGGACTGCCCAGACTGGCACCTTCACCTGGGGTCTGCAGACGGTCTCCACGAGTCTGTCCGCTAACACAAACACCGCAAGTGCTGCATGTGTGATGCCGCCTCTCACAAAAGTACCAAGGATGAAACACAACAGCGCAAGCCCACGAGGGAGCATGTTACCAGGGCAGTGCGTGAGAACCATAGCAGAGCCCCGAGCTGCCACTGAGGGCGCAGGAGGAGGACACAGCGAGGGAGAACTTGTGCCTGAATCACCGGACCCTATCTTTAAATGAAAACAGGCTGTCTGCAGTTCGCCACACAAAGACTGTCTGTCCACAGAAAGAAAACAGGTCTGGGGTTCAGAGAGACATTCTGATAGACCAACAAGCAGGAGGAAATGTGAGGAGGTCTGTCACTCTGCTGATACATCACACATCCAAAGTATCGACAGTGTCAAAGAATCTGGAGGTGGGGCCAGGAGGTCCCGCTCGCCCAAAGGGTCCTCAAAGGCAGGGGGCTTCCTCCCCATGAGTATCCAAGTCTCACTGAGGGCCTGGTGCTCAGGAAGGAGATGCAGAGGAAACTGGGCCAGGACAAAGCAGTCTGGAAGGAAAGCCCCCAATTCGGACCAGAGCCATCTCAGGCGCATCTGTGCTTCTGCCTCAGGGGAACCTGTCCTCATCAGTGTACAATAAACCTGTCCTGATGAGCCGTGCTTCCTTGTCTGAGGAGCCAAGTGCTGAAGGACCAGAATGGCTGCAATTCACCAGCAGTTAGTTTAGGGAAAAAACTATACCTTATATAATCGTATAAAGTAATTGTATATTATAAAGGGTATAACATAATAAATACAATCTCAGTAATTATATAATAAGCCTATTACATTAATATGATATATAACATATGAATGGAAGCAAATGTGGTGTCATGGGCCAAATCGTGTCCCTGCTCCCTGAATTCACACTGGGGGAGGTCCTAACCCCGGGTACACCTCAGAATGTGGCTGTAGTTGAAGACAAAATCTTAAAAGAGGTAATTAGGTAAAATGAGGCCCTATTCCAACATGACTGGTGTCCTGCTAAGAGATTAGGACCCACACAGACTGAGGGGCGACCATGTGAGGTGCCATCTGAGGGCCAAGGAGAAAGGCCTCAGAAGAATCCACCCCTGCCCACATCCTGACTTGGCACTTTCAGCCTCTAGACCTTGAGAAAAGAAATTTCTGGTATTCAAGTCCTCCAGTCTGTGGTGCTTTACGGCAACACAGTGATCTGAGAACCCAGATGAAGGGTATTTGAGTATTCATTAAATTACTATTTAGACTTTTCTGTAGGTTGAACATTCAAAAAAATTTTTTATGTTTATTTGAGGGAGGGAGAGAGAGAGAGAGAGAGAGAGAGAGAGAGAGAGAGAATGAATGAACAGGGGAGGGGTAGAGAGAAAGGGAGACAGAGGATCTGAGGCTGGCTCCATGCTGACAGCAGAGAGCCTGATGTGGGGCTCAAGCCACGAACCGGGAGATTAAGACCGGAGCCGAAGAAAGACGCTTAACTGACTGAGTGCCCCAACATTTCTGTAATAAAAAGGTGAGAGGAAAACGTACTGTAAAAGCATACGCTAGTACAACCATTCGCAGGTCCATCTGGCAATATCAATCAAAATTGTAAGTGCCCAGACCCCTTTAACCTGCAATGCGCTGCCAGATGTGTGTTCTACAGGCATTATTACAATATGTGCCAAGATATATAGGGGTCTTCACTGTAATGCTGTCCTAACAAATACCTGGAAAGAGACCTATGTCTGTCAGTATGCGGTTGGGTACATACATCATGGCACGATACAACATTAGGCTGTCACTGAAAACAATAAGGTAATCTGTGTGGACTCATGTGGACAGATTTCCAAATTATATTAATAAATTGCAGAATAATATGCCTACTACGATTCTGTTCATATCCATTTTTTAACTTTTAAAAAAGACTATTTTTAGTTTTTAAGAGGGTAGGTTTTTTAAAGTTTATATATTTTTGAGAGAGAGAGAGAGAGACAGAGAGAGAGTACAGCGGGGGGGGGGTGGGGGGGGGAGGGGAGAGGGAGATACAGAATCTGAAGCAGGCTCCGTGCCATCAGCATTGAGCCTGATGCGGGGCTTGAACTCACAAACCCTAAGATCATGACCTAAGCTGAAATCAAGAATTGGGAGCTCAACTGACTGAGTCACTCAGATGACCCTAAAGATTTTTTTTTAATGTTTTATTTATTTCTGAGAAGAGAGAAAGAGAGAGAGAGAGAGAGAAACAGCGTGAGCAGGGGAGGGTCAGAGAGAGAGGGAGACACAGAATCTGAAGCAGGCTCCAGGCTCTGAGCTATCAGCACAGAGTCCAATGCGGGGTTTGAACCCATGAACTGTGAGATCATGACCTGAGCTGAAGCTGGATGCTTAACTGACTGAGCCACCTAGGTGCCCCAAGATTTTAAGTAATCCTTACACCCAACATGGGTCTTGAACTCAAAACCTGAGATCAAGAGCTGCGTGCTCTACTGAGCCAGCCATGTGCCCATGTTCATATCCATTTTTTAAAAAAAAATTAAAAAAATTTGTTAACGTTTATTTATTTTTGAGAGAAAGAGAGAGAAGGGAGGGAGGGGCAGAAGAGAGGGAGACACAGAATACGAAGCAGGCTCCAGGCTCTGAGCTGTCAGCACGGAGCCCTACGTGGGGCTTGAACTCATGAACTGCGAGATCATGACCTGAGCCAAAGTTAGACGTTTAACCGAGCCGCGCAGGCGCTCCTGTTCATATCATTTTTAAAGGATATACATTTATGTCGGTGTTACGCATGTCTTTTCCCTAGAAGGGTATGTGACTATTAAGGAGAGCTGCCTTTGGTGAAAGGAATTATCGATCAGGGGAGCAGACTTTCTACATCATTCTGAATGGTTTGAAACATTCTTCTAATTTCACACTGCTTTTATTTCAATAAATTAAAAATAAAAGAAACCTGTCAGACACCTGTGCCAATACAGCAAAGTGGGGCATGGGGGGATGTGGTGTGGGTCACGGGGGCCTCTGGGACAAGAAGAGAAAAGAATGTATGTGCGTGCTGACCATGCTCGCGGGTAGGGTGGCAGCCTCATGCGGGAGCACCTCAGACAGAATTCAGAACCCACTTGGATTCCCCAGAACGGAGCAGTGTGACTCCTGTCTCTTTCTCTCCGTCTGCCATCCCCTCCCCCTAGAATATTTCAGAGCGTAAAATCTTTTTATTTTTTAATTAAAGGCAGAAGAAACATTAGAAGAGCTCCTTCAGATCTGACGTGGCAGGGAAACTCTGGAAACCTTGCTCCGCCATGCAGTCATGGTATACTGAGGGGCCTGCGGCATGACAGGCCCCATTCAGCAGGAGACGAAGTCGACACAATCCTTGCACTCCTGGCCTTCTCGGGGAGGGGAGAGGCTACGCGGAGGACAGAGACTGTGACATCAAAGCGGGAAAAGAGAGTAGGCTGGGGATGGGTTTGCAGATTGTAGACCAGGTCTGGAAGGTGAGCCAAAGTCCAAAGAAAGGCAGGGGTGAATCACAGGTGTCTGCGGAAGACCCCTCAGGTGGACGGCTTGGGACCAGTGAGCGGTGGGAATGTGGGCACAAGGTCAGATATCCCAGGCCTCGTGGCCAGGGGGATGTGGGGGTGGCCAGGGCAGGGGGGCTGTGGCCTACTATTGCTGTGCTGAGAGCGGCCTGAGGCACCAAGGCGGGAACAGAGGGGCGGATTAGGCCACGCCAGTACCCCTGGGTGACTGGGCACCCAGCCTGGGTGGTGGACCAGAGCGCAAGCAGAGGCGGAGCCCACGGCGCCTTCAGTGGAGAGCCTGTGACAAGGCGGATGCGGTATGCATCCACGATGACTTGGAGGTGGTTCTGCCCATTTCCGGTTGGTTGGAGGACGCGAGACTTCTGTGCACAAGAAACAAAGGGCCACCCCCGAGTCCCTCATGGACGGTGAGCCAGGCACCAGGCCTATGGAAACAAGCCCGTTCCCTGCAGGGGCCCGGCAGCTGCTCCCTGGGAAGCCATGAACAAAAAGGCTCACGCAGAGAGTACCTCATTGTCAGTGTCATAGGACAGCTGAGTTTTGCTCAATTAATGGTGCTTCTGCAGGATGCAGAGAACTCAGATGG